GGGAGGATGAGGAGGGTGCGGGGGATGAGGAAATGGTCGTAGACGAGCCGCCGCTCGAGGTACGCATATATGCGTCTGCTCTTTTATGCAGAGTACTGACGAACTCGCAGCATCCCCAGCCTATCCCCGCATCCGCATCAGTTATATCCCCAACATCCGCCGCCTCCCCCGCCGGCGCATCCGGCGCATCACCGGCGAACTCGACAGCCACGGCCTCGCCGGCGCCCAACTCGCACCATCTGCACCACCACCATCATAATCTGCACGACCATCGACAGCTCCACGCCCAGCTGGCCGCGCACAATGCGCAACAGTCCGAACACAATGCGCAACAGTCCCAGCAGCCCGAGCACCAAGCTCAGCACGCTCAATACGACGCGCGCGAGGCGGAGAGGCAGCTACACAGCCATCATATGCATCTGCACGACCACCATATGCACCCGCCGCATCATGCGCATCCGAAGGGGCCGACGCCGCCGAAGGAGAGGGAGGGGACTCGGACGCCGCCGACGCCGGGGTCGGGGCTGGGGACGCCGGGGTCTGGCGCGTCGCGCGCTACTCCCGGCCCCGCGCAAGCCACTCCCGGTCCTTCGCGAGGTACGCCTGGGCCGTCGAGGGGTACACCAGGGCCCTCGCAGATCCCGAACTCGCAAGCCGTGCCGTCGTCGAGCCAGGCTCAGCCATCCCGCTCGCAGCCTTTGCACGCGCATATGCATCCACATCATTCGCATCTCCATCCGCATCCGCACGCGCATCCGCATCCTCACGCTCTCCAGCAACATAAGCAACAACTCGAGCTTGTGCAGTCTCAGCCGCAACCCAACTTCTCACAGCAACCCCAGCCCTCCCAACAGCAGCCCGAACCTTCCCAACAACTCGAACCCTCCCAACAACAGCACTTCAGAGCATCGCAAGACTCAAATCTCGCAAACAAGTCCATCTCAAGCTCGCAGCGGACCTACACCCAAGAAGAGCTCGACGCGGCCGTCGCGGCCAAGAACGCGGACCTCGTCCGCGCGCTGGCGGCGAAGCGCGCGCACGAGGACGAGGTGGCCGCGCTCAAGGCGCAGGTAAGCTTCTTCCCCGTCTGCTTTGGGTGAGTGAGGAGGCGTGCTGATGTGGAATGGTATTATAGGTCGAAGAGATGCAGAACCTGATCAAGCGCACGAATGAGGTGGCCGAGACGCGCGCGGCGTCGGAGAGGGCGGACGCGGCGCAGCGCGAGGCGGCGTTCGTGCGGGGGGAGAGGCTGTTTGGGGATGAGAAGAGGCTGTGGGGGGAGAAGGAGAGGAGGTGGGGGGAGGAGCGCAAGAGTCTCAAGGCGCGCGCGGCGGAGGCGGTCAAGCGGCTTGGAGATGTTGAGATGGCGCATGAGGAGAGCGAGAAGGCGCGGGCTGAGAAGGAGAAGGCTTGGGCGGCGGACCGCGCCGCGCTCGAGGCTCTTCAAGTCACCTCTGCGCGTGTACCGGAGCTCGAAGCGCAAGTCGTCGTCATGCGAACCGAAGTCGAAACCGCTACTACGGCGCTTCAAGCGGAGAAAGACCGTACCGCCGCCGCCCAGCGCGACGTGGACTTCTATCGTGGACAGTACGAGCAAGCCAGCGCATTCGTAAAAGAGACGCGAGCCGAGAACGACGTGCTCTCCCAGCGCACGGAGATCGCAGAAGGCCAAGCGCGCGAAGGCGTCCAGCTCGCACGCGCCGAAGCCGCCGCACGGCAAAAGGCGCTCGAAGACGACGTCGCGCGTTTGCGCACGGCGAACGAGATCCTCGTCGAGCGCGCGCGGCGCACGGACGACGATGTGCGCGAACGCGCGGCGCTGGAGCCGGAGTGGAGGAGGCAGGTCGGGAGGTGGGAGGAGAGGTACGAGTTGCGGGATGCGCAGGCTGAGGAGGAGCAGAGGCGGGTTAAGAGGCTGAAGAAGCGGTTGGAGGATGCTGATGAGGAGATTGAGAAGCTTGAGAGGACTGTTAGGAAGTTGAAGGAGGCGGCAAAGGCGGCGAAGGCGGCGAATGAGGCAAAGGCAGCGAAGGCGGCAAAGGCGGCGGAAGAGGTGAAGGCGGCAAAGGACAGGAGTGCGGTGGAGGACAAGGGCAAGGCGAAGGCGAAAGCCGCGCCTGAGCCTGAGCCTGAGCCTGAGCCTGAGGAGGACGAGGATGAGGAGGAAGACGAGGACTTCGTGCCGGGGAGTGATGAGAGCAGTAGTAGCAGCGAAGAGGAGTCTGATGAGGAGGAAGAGGCTCCCGTCGCCGCTGCTACCGACGCCACACCTGTTCCCGAGCCTCAGCCGGATGTCTTCCCGCCCTCACACGTCGCCGCCCAACCACTCATCCCCGACATCGAGATGCCCATCGCAGGACCCAGCAACGCGCCTCTCAACGGCTCGCAAGAGCTCGTAGAGTCACAACTCCAGCCCGCAAGCCAAGAAGACTCCCTCCCGCCTCCGCAACCTCAATCCCTCACCCTCTCAGAAACGCAAACTCAAGATCCGAACGATTCCATCGTGCAACGATGCATGTGGGTCGATCAGCAAGAGGGCGGAGTAGCGTGCGATGCCACGGCGCCTACAGTACAGGTCAATACCGATTTCGCTTCTTCCCCTTCACCACCTCCCCGGCAACGCGGAGGATGGCTTGGTGCATGGTTTTCCGGGCGCTGACTGTGGTTTTTTGTGATGTAGGCTTTGAAGGATCACTATTGGGAAGCTCATCATCCGGTGATGGGTTCAGTGGATGGGGTGCGGTAGTACGTGTTGTGCGTTTGCTCGGACACTTCTTGGTACCTCGGGTTATGGGGTTCATCTTGTCTTAGTGCTTTTCCACGTTTCATGAATCCATCTCCTTGTATATGTTAACTTTGCATGTTTTACTTCATACTGTTCGAGGCTCTCTCGAGGTTGTCGGCGATAATCGGGACACTGACTGGCGCGCTGACAAAGTTTGTTGATTTCCGCAGCGGACTATCATCAGAATCGCATGTTTCCGTACCTTGCTTCCTGCGTCCATCTTCCCTGTGTTTCTGGCGCTCTGCTCTTGTTCATGGCGGCCCCACAGCTGTCTTTAGCTGGCGTGAACATCGATCCCAACACCGTGACTTTCGCCCGCGAACAAGATGGCGGCAACAAGATCTCTTTCGGTATTCGCATCGTCTACAACGAATGGCGCGCGGCAGCGCTCTCTCTGCACACCAGGCAGTGGGCGGTGTTGAATCACGACCAGGCAGAACGTATACGAGAGGACCTGAGGGCTATCGGTCTTGGAAGCATCATTCCAAAGAAAGAGTTCATGCGCTCGAGTGCTGTTCTGCCCGGTACGGTGGAGCTGGTTCACCCATATCGTGCATCCGTGCGTTGCTGACACGAGATGTATGGTATCATACTGAGGTCCTGTGTGTCTCTAGTTTATGGTCGGTAAAACGAAGACCATCTTGGACAATCTCTCAGCCGGAACACTGTTGATACATCAGATGTGAGACTCTCTTCCCCATTGGTCGTCAGGTGGGTACTATGCTAACAACGTGGCTTCCTACAGGAGATATATCTTCATGTGCGTTGAAGCCTCTGCATGATTCCACTTCGCGCTGTAATCACTGAACGGACTATCATTAGGTATATACTCCCTGCATCGGTGCAACATCTTCACAGGCATCCGCCGTGTCAGGCTATATACGCCTACGCCGGAAATCCTGGGCTTGCGTTCGCTGAACATTCTCTTGATACATTCATTCGTCGTGCACTTGCTGTCAGAGACGGGATCTCTGTCCCCTCGCCTTCCCCAACTACTCGTTAGTCCATGCGCTTCTTACACATGTTCATGCAATTGACATTACTCTATGGCGCCAGCGCGTCCCTTTGGCCTACCTCCCAAACCCGCTTCGGTTGTGCCAGCACCTATTGCGTCCACAAGCACTCCGTCGACGAACCAAACGTCCTCCGTGGCCTCATCATCAGCGTCTGCGAGACGTGGCTCGATATCGAACACTGCTGGGGATAGCCTGAGTCTCTCCGTCCCCATGAAGCGACCGCATTCGGCATTCGCGGGCTTCGAGGATGAGAGCAGTCGCGCCAAGGCGCGTAGACTAGACGGGCAGCAGGGGTTGATGCCTTTCAAGTCTGCTGGTGCATCCGCCGTTCAACCAGCGCGCATGACTGCAGTACCTCCCACATCGCGATCGATGTCTTCTTCATCCGCCTCTCGGATGTTCGTCACAAACACGGAGAAGAACGTACCTCCCACGAGTGATTCGTCGGCGTTGAGCAGCTCTCCAGGCATCTCGGGCCCGAGTGCTTTTGCCTCGATGTCAGCAACCCCCCGCTCTACGTCTTCACAAGTCGCAAACCCAACTGCGAAGACAGCATTTCCACCATCCATGTTTGTTCCAAAGCCCTCTAGCCGTGAATTGCCTTCAAGCCATGCGCCTTCGGCATCATCAGCCGCTTCGGGCGTACCTCGGACACATCAGGCGGCGTCCCATCTCGCGGCGTCTTCTATCCCTTCCTCGTCTAGTTCAGAGGCGCAAAGGGTGAAGCGATTGCAAGACGAGAGAGACGCTATGGTCAAATACGCGCGAGAACAGAGCCAACGGCTTGAAGCCGCTCAATCACAACTTGCTGCCCAACAGGCCCAGATTGCGGAGCTGGAAATGCTGCGTAAAGAGGTTGCTCGGCTTCGGGAGCTCCCTGGCGATAGCGTGCAGACGATATCAACCCTCGCGCGAGCACAGAAGACCCTGTCCGAGGAGATTACACTCCGAGACGAACGGTTGAATGCTCTGAGTCAGGAGGTCGCGCAAGTTCCAGAACTTCGCGCGACTATACGGGAGCTCGAAGTCCGAGCAGCCGACGCAGACACTCTGCGCCAGAGTGTTGCCAATCCCGAGTCTCTACGAGACGTAGAGAACGAGTTGACAGCCTCCCGGGCACTCGTCGAGCAACTGAAGCGTGATGCAGATGCACTGGTTCAACAGCGCGATGCGATCGAATGTGATCTGTCCCAAGTTCGGGAAGCCAATGATAGGCTGAAAGAGCAAGTCGCAGAAGTCGAGATTCTGCGATCTCGCGTGCAAGAGCTTGCGCCTTTCAAAGACAAGGCCAAGCTTCTGGTACAGCTTGCTCAGAAGCTTAAGGCGGATCACGACGAGCTTCGTAGTCGATTTCTGGCGCAAGAGACGGAACTCGGCGCTCTACGGCGGGCAAACCTGGGGAAGACTCGGCCCCCGTCAGAACCCGCTTCGCCATATGTGCACACTTCAGAAGAGACAAGGGAAATGAACACGCAGCTCGAATGCAAGGCACATGATACGGCAGTGTTGACAAGACTGGTGAAGTTGGTCGAGATTGAACTTGAAGGCGATTCCTCTGCATATAGCATAGAAGGTAAGATATACTTGCACATGAGTGCCAGTCTCGGATTCACCCATATCATAGATGTTTTCGATGCTGTAGAGCGCAAAGTGGTCGAGTTTCAAAAGGTCAAGCATACAGCCGATGCCATGCGCGATCGAGCGCAATGCGCTGAGCGGAAACTTGTGGATCTAGAGGCAAGAATGAATGCCCTAGAAGCGATCGATTACTCGGCGGCTCCCAAGTTGACTGAGGCGTTGATACATATCGCAGTGATGGCAAGCGAGGAAGAAGGCAGGATAAGCTTATCATGAGCCCCTGTAGCTCTGTGCGCTTTGTAGTCGTTGTACTCATGTACCGGACAAAGGCGGTGGTCGGCGCGAAGCATAAAATGGTCTGCGTGACATTGTGACGGTTCGTGTTGAATGACGCGACAGGATGCGACGCGTAAATTCGGAGCCACGACATGAAGCTTGAAGACGCAAACATCCTTGTCATGTTTACGCGAGTATTCTTGCCGTAGCCTTGAGAATGAGCTTTTGGTCTGTCGATTGGGTGCATTGGAACCACTACCTAGATGCTGGAGCACAGAAAGCGAGCAGAATCCTGAAACAGAGACTTGCCCGATGTAAGAGCGGCGATAGAGCGCGTTGAGTGCTTAGGTACTTCGTCCTGAGAACCAGTTATCTGACTCATGGTGTGTTGACAGATTGGAAAGGGAACATGCTGTAGATGCTATGTGGCGGCCGCCTTCCTTCGGCTCTAGGAGGCCTCCCGAGCCGACCTCTCATGGTCTTGCCGCGAAAGGGTTTCGCGTCGGAGCAAAGGGCTAGAAAGATATCATGAACAGGCGCTCACGCAACAAGACACATTACAAATACTACATAAGCTATCAGCGATGTAAGCTACATTCAGTGCTAAGGAGTCAAGCACGTCTCATCAATGTTCGATCACACTAGGCGGCCCGTCGCGTGTCGGCTCGGCAAAAGCATGATGTTCGACGTTGCCTCTTGCTCCCATCCTGGACCGTCCTCGGTGCCGCGGCCCTCTTTCAACGCCACCCATGTCGACCGGAGAGACTTCTTTACTTGGAGTGGAAGCTTCTGTCGATGGCATCTCTGCAAGCCGCGACTACGACGGCCGGGGACTTATCACTGTTGGCTTTCGCGTCGTCTACCACGACAAGCGCGCGACAGAGTATTCACTCCTTCCGGCGATTTGGAGAGACGTGAACACCAACGCGGCTGAGCGAATACGGAAGGACATGTTGTGTTCAACCATCGGTCTCAGTGCTAGTTTGCCTAAGAATAAGCATATGCGGGTCAGTGCGGCTATACCCGGATCTGTGGAGATGACACATGTGAATCGTACCTTCGAATCGGTCCAAGTAAGAGCTTTCAATATCACTACCGCCGACCACATATAAAAGCTGCGTTCAGGATGTCGTGGTGTCCGCAAAGAAGGCGATTGATCGGCTTACCGGAGAAGCGCTGAGAGGCCACTATATGTGAGCATACGCCTGTCAGACGGCATTCGCTTGCAGTAATCACTCATACCCTCTCATGCACAGCAAATGCATCCTCATGTACGTCTTCTGTGGTGTCCAATCTACGTAATCGTGAGTCTAACTGGTCCTCAGGTACGTCATCATCGGCATTCCTGCAGGGCCTGCGTCGAGAGGGCTCGACTCGCATCCGCCGTTCAGATCCCTGCATGCATATGCGGGTGACCCCTCTGCAGTCGGCGTGGACCTTGATGCAAGAATTCGCAGGGTTCTTTCCGCAGGGCATCTCCAACCACCCTCGTTCAAAGGTCAGTTCATCAGATGAATGGTTCTGACATAACGTCGCTTACATTGGTCTATTCCTGTAGCCATACACCCTAGTTTACCGCCAAAGCCCCTTTCCATTCGAGACATGACCATGGCTAGATCGGCACCGATGAATGCTCGTTCTACTGTGCTCTCGGATTCTAAAGTCGCACACCCTCTCATGGTGACTTTACAGGACGAGCGAGACGCTGCCGTCAATCGCGCTCGAGATCTCAGTGCACAGCTCGAGGCTACCCAGGCACAACTCCTCGTCCAGCAAAGTCGGTTTGCTGAGATAGAGCCCCTTCGGCAAGATGTGACACGATTTCGAGAGCTGCTCGAAGACAGGACACAGAAGATATCGGAGCTCACGCGTTCTCACGAACGATATATGCAGACGGCTACAATGGATATCAAGATGCGAGACTATCGGTGGAGATACTTGAAGCGGGAAGCGACTAGAGTTCCGGGGCTCCAGGCGGTCATCCAAGCAATAGAGACCAGGGTTGCAGGGGAGATTCCACGCCGGGATCCTGCCAATGCTGTGCCTCGGCCTGACGTGCCGATCCCCGCTACGGAGCCAATATACTCTCGAGAAGACGTCAAAGGGATCAGAATGAGATCACAAGCCCTTGTACAACTCCGAGATGCAGCCCTGGACGACCTCGCGAAAGCTCGGAAGGACATCGATGCGCTACGAGGTCAAACGGCTGAGCTTGAGATGTTGCGAGCCAGGGTTGAAGAGCTCGTTCCGTTTGAGGAAAATTTGAAGGTCCTTGCGATGGAGCGCGATGCGCTACTAATGCAGGTCCAACGACAGAAGGTTGATCCTCACATGCTTCCAGTGCAAGTAGCAGAAAGTGGACCATCAGGCGAATGCGATTTGGACAAGCTCCGGAGATACTGCACGAGAAGCGCAGAGCAAATTTCAGCTATGGATAAGAACGGAATTGATACGATGCAGAGTGAAGTAGCGAAGCAGGCGGCGGAGCATGAAGGCCACTTTACTGAACGCGACAAGGCCGGTAAGTCGCTATTTAAAGATTGCTGAACGTCCCTGATCTGACATATATCGTAGCCGTAAAGCACGTTGAGAGTATGTCGAAGGAGCTAGACGCCATGGGCGGTACACCGGATAGTACGGAGCGGAGGGTTGCGAAGCTGGAGGCCACAAAGCTACTGGAGTCGGTAGGCGCCTCAATGGTCCCCTCATTGGTGGATGCTTTGATTCAGATCGCAGAGATGGCTACGACCGTGTAGAAGGTGCAGGCGTGTGCTTCCGCCTCGTAGCATCCGAGTCTTGTTGGTTACAACCGCCTCTCGCTTTGATCATTGGTTAGCAGGATATCAGTACATTTCTAATGACGTCCACGGATATTGAGTACCTTCGTCTCATGGAATCGTCGTGTTGAGAGCCAGATGACAAGATTTTTGCACACGTGGATGGTGGTAAGGAAGAGCCCTGCGTCTGCGGGTAACGCTGTGACGTTTCGCGTCGCGTTGCGACGCGCCCACGCCGAGCGCACCGATGGAACTCGAACCAAACACCCATGGCTTCTCGGTGGAACCGCCCGCTCAGGCGTGAGAGTGCCAACGAGCCCGCCGTAACCATCGGTCTACGCATACAGTATACTGGCATCAAAGCCTTACACTACCCTCGCGCGCTACCTGGTACTCCAGAACTCGTCCCGAAGTCACTACTTCAAGATGTTCGACAAGATCTCCGGGCATCCGGACTGGGCAGCGCTCTTCCCAACAATGACAACGCGCACTTCAGTGCACTAATGAAGAACACCGTAGAGATATTCTGGCCACATCTCTCCGCTCATCAAGTAGATTCTACGATCGAACAGTCTCCTTGCCTCAACTCAACCCTCTTCAGGCCAAGTCCTTGAAGGTACATCTCTGGACTCGGTTCGAGAAGATTACGGTGGACATGCTCGCGTCACGATCAGTGTGTGTAGCCATTCATCTACTCCGTTGCCACTATGTTCTAAACAGCGAACCAGATCATGCATGATGTTGTGAGTCCGTAACCCCTCTTCACCCGGACTTCTCAGCTTCACCACTCGAATCAGTTATATTCTGCCAGGCTCTTTGGACTCGTTACATACACATCCTCCTGAAGAAGACTTACAAGGCTTTGTCTGCGATCCAGGCACCGTAGACAAGACGTTCGCATCAACGTGTCGAGGTGCCATGGCTCTCATTCGCCACGCTCAGGAACAGGACATGCTATCAACTTTGCGTGCCTCTACAGACGACAAGCCCACAGCTTTTTCCGCCACCGAACATCGCGGTAGATCTCCGGCCAGACCCGATCGTGGTACCTCCGCCCGTTCATCGACCAGTCGAGATCCCATGCAGCTTAGGGAGAGACGGCGGTCCTCGTCCCCACCGTCGAATACATGGCGCCCTCCGAATAGACTTCCACCCACTGGTCCCCGTGCAGATAGGCTCCGCCAAGTGCGTAGCCCACCTCGTGCGAACGCGCCTCCCTCGCCAGCGCGCAAACGCTCTCCAGACCCAGCCTACGGCGATAGAGCGGAGGAGGAGATCCGCGAGCTGAGAGCGAAAGTTCGCAGACTTGAGGACTCGCGCGACGCAGCACAGACTCGGGCACGCGAACTGCGCCGAGAGGTAGATGCCATCCAAGCGTACGAAAGGAGCGCGCCTTCTCTCTCAGAGATGAAGGATGAGATCCTAAAGCTCAAAGCGCGGACCCGACGTGTCGAGGACCGTGAACTCCAACTGCACCGATGGCTGAAGGATATGTTGGGTGAAGAGTGGCATGCCGAAAGAGATGCGGACTTGGATGGTATGTGCAACCTTTTCGCATTGTTGGTCTACTGAGGGCTAACCCACTACGTCAATCTCAGACGCGCTCGCCCTTCTGAAAACGAAGCTCACAAACCTCCGCGTCAAGGCCGAGCAATCCGAAGCTGAGCTTGCACGCTTGGAGCAGTACAAAACACGAGAACGCGATCTGCATCATGTGGATGCCGAGGCTATGGTCGTGCCGGCGCTCCTTGAAGCACTGATGCAGATCGCAGACTCGACAGGCGGCGCACCCATCAGCCTGGGCGTGTCTAGCGCCAAACCGGTAGCTTATGAGGATCCAAACTGGTAGTCTTCGTTTCTTCATCTCTGTCTTGTCTAGTAATGCATATACTTTGTATACTCCGAGTACGCTTCATTTCTTGTGTGTTTTCTCTTGCCATTCGTTGTCACGACCGTATCCTTCATTCAGGTTCTTAGAGTAGTCTTATATCTTCTCTTGTGATACCCGCACCTTCTTTCTCGCACCCGAAGTCACTATCTGTATACGATACATCTTGTTCTTGTTTATTTGTGAATATCGAGCCGCGGGATTAGGCCCTTCAGTCTAAGACGTCAACGTCGGTCTAAACCCGGATATCGCCGTCGCGGGCCGAGACCGGGCCGACGCGCTTCAAGAGCACTCGGCCGTACGCAATGGTGCCCGCCTACATGAGCTATGGGGAGATGGTGCTATTCTGACACAGTGTGAGTACGATGATGTAGGGGTGAGCGAGAGATGGACCCGGACGGTTCGAGATCGATGTATGATGGTGATCTCCGGATTGAAGCGAAACTCCTAATAGCCCGACGCACTCCTTTCCGAACCACCACCACCTCCCTACCACACGCTACCCTCCCCCGAGCGTCCCAAACTCTTTCAAACATGTCTTGGCAAAGTTCGTGAGGCTGCGATCCTTTGTGACTAGCTTCGATCTAACTTGGTGTGCGTGTACAGCGTACGTTGACACCAACCTCGTCGGCAGCGGCAAGATCAGCAAGGCAGCCATCATCGGTCTGGCTGGCGGTGTCTGGGCGTCCTCTGCAGGGTTTACAGTGCGTTGTACTCATCAGCTATTGCCGATACGGGTGGCTGACTGTGCATCTAGCTCTCGGCCGAGGAGCAGAAGGCGATCGTTGACGGTTTCAAGGCACCAGATGGCATCCAGGCATCTGGCTTCAAGCTCGCTGGCACGAAGTACTTCACCATCCAGGTCGGGGATCGTACGATTCAGGGAAAGAAGGCGGTGCGTTCTAGTTTGCTTGCCAGATTTCATTTGATCCTCATCATTTCTTCCAGGGTGACGGTGCTGTGCTTGTCAAGACAAAGCAAGCTATCCTTGTCGCCGAGTACGCTGCACCGGTGCAGGCGCCAGAGGCCACCGTCGTTGCGGAGGGTCTTGCTGACTATCTTATTGGCGTCGGCTACTAGAGCTCTAGATATTTGGCACCCCACCCTCTCGTCGCACATCGCTCGTGTTTGCTTAGGAAGAAAATCATCTGTGTAATACATATCATCAAACGTCGATCTTGGTCGGAACTAGCGATCATCGTTGCTCGCTGTAGTCCGCTCAAAGCCAAGGCCTCGCGCAACGTGCGCGTTATGGTAGTGCTTATCTTCGCTTGTTTCATTCCGACACAGTGACCAGGCGTAGTGCGAACGATGCCATCAAGATCCAAATGACTCTAAACGTACATATACTGACAATGCGGTTCATTAATAACTTATAACCAGTACGATCCAAGATCTCGATGGATCAGGGAGCAGATCACGGCGGCTCGCTTATTCGGGCAGTTGCCACACGTACGTATTTCCTGTATGATCACCGTGGAAGAGATCCTCGCTATACGTCATGGTCAGTAACAGATCACGAATACGGATCATATGCGCACTTACCCGACGAACTTCAGAGCAGTGATACCAGCGTTCTTCGCCGCCTTGAGCGTCCTCAATGTCACAAACTCCCACTTGGCCTTCTCTCCTTCCGGGGTCCCATCGGCACTCCAGGTGCGCAGTATGATACGGCCATCAGGCGTGCCGCATGCCAAAAGACCGCCCAAAGCGCTGTACTCGCGTTCCAGGAACGTAAACGAGGTAATCGGAGGCGGAGTGTGCGCGGGTCCTGGCGTAAGATCAAGCGAGGCGATAGGACGACCATTAATCGTGTGTAGTAGAAGTTTGTTGCGCGAGCACGAGGCGATGTAACCCTACACGCGCCAGGGGTAAGTCAATGCTTCACGTCAAAGACAAAGCAGAAAGACGCACCGTTTGTTCATGTATCGCGACAAGATGGACTTCCTCGCCTTCGCCATGCTGCAAACTTCGAATGTAGATTGCGCGATTCAGTCCCCATACGACGGCCGTACCATCCGAGCCTCCGCTAACCACCATACTCCACGGCCTGCTCGCAGTGACGCTCAGGACGGGCCCGGTATGTACTCGCAGCAGATGTAATAGGCTCATCGAATGTTGAGGTGCTCGACGTAGCCGCCACAAGCGTACTAGTCCATCTGGCCCGCCGGTCGCGAGGTTCTCGGCGTCTGCGAATGCTGCACACGACACCTCAACACCCTCGTGAGACTTTTGGATGCGGCCATCAACAACGAGGCGTAGCTCAGGCGCAGACGCGCGCCCGGTGCGTGAAGGGCCCCATTCAACGCGTTCATCGGGATGGTTCGGGTTGGCGAGTACACCGGCTGGGTATGAAAGCACGCGCTCCGCAATCAGGTCGGCAACAAGTGCTTTGACGGCAAAGCCGCGTCCGAGCGCTTTTGCGGCCGGTCGGGTGCTTTGCACGAGGAGTCCGTGGTCCTCCTCGACACCGTGCAGCTGACCTAGAGGAAGAGATGACATGCCGTGCATCATGCGTTGGGGATGCGGAGTTGAGAAGAGCTTGCGCGGGGTCTGACCAACTGAGCACGCTCGTGAGCTTGGCTCGAACCTCGGCAGCAGAGTGCTCGAACGTACAGTTGTGGATGATACCGACAGTCGCTTCGCGTTGAAGCTCATCCGTAATCTCGTCGAGGTTGATGGAGCCCTCATAGCTTAAGGGATGAAAAGCGTTGAGGGAATCAGGATCGCGCTGTTTGCTTCCCCAAATGAGATCGATCCAAGCTGGAAGATTCTCGCTGACGTATTCGCTCTCAAGAGCCTGCGTGATCTTTATGAGTAACAATGATGGAGAAACAGACGAGAGGGCTGACCTTGCGATGCATGGTGATGAACAAGAGCGGATCGTCTTTGGCCCATGGTGGCAATCGGACGTGGTGGATACGCTCGCCGCTTCCCTGCAGCACCCCGAAGTCTAGTTCATCCGTGTTCTCCAAGAACCTATGCAATCGTCAACGTCGTTGTATCATAAGTATGTTCGAGATATCTCACTCTGGCAACGTATAGAACTCAGGGATGAGCTCCCGGACGTCTCCGCGAATGTCAGATGCCGCCGACGTGTATGCACGACTGATATCGCTGTGAAAAGTGATCAGCGCTCTTCCATGATATCAACGAATAGCATCCGTACCTGAACAAGCGATCAGGAAGATCCCAATCGCCACCCTGAAGTGTTTTGAACATGTTCGTGAAGGGCGCGAGACGGATCATAAAGTGGCAGACGATCATAGACGAGCTAAAGTGTGTGCCATAGTGGAAGGGTTGCTCCTCAACGCTCTGTAGAGCTTCGTATCGCGCGCGCGCAGCCTCTTGCCGAGCGGGTGTAAGAGCGCCCATCGGGCGCGTGAGACTGATTCATGTCAGAGAAGTTGATACAACACGCGAGCCTGAGAGCGCTCACTCCCGATAGACGCTCCTGTCGCTCAGATCGAGCTTCTCGGATGAATAGTCCTGTAATACCCATGCTACGAAGAGAAGTCAGCGATTGACACACATACGACGTACTAAAACTGACGGAATACTGGGTACTGAGTGACATCGTTTGGCGTACGACCAGAGATTTGGTTCAGTATGCTCAAGTATGAGAACTAGCCAGATGTCAGCTTGAGTGAGAGAAGACCGCACAACAGCCGCCACTTACGTTGCTCAGCTCACGGGCTTGCCATTTGCGCTGCGCGGTCGAAAGCTGGTCCGCGCGGAACATCGAGAACGCCCTGCTGCTGCCCATGACGCGACCAACGAACGGAGACTTGAGCGGGTTCGGCGTTCGCGGAGCAGCGAGAGTTGGATTGTTGATGCCAAGGATCGCATTCAGCCGTTGCTGCATGTCCGTGCGGTGCTTTGGCGTCAAGAACACCACCAGAAGCGAGCAGCTATCTCGGAAGTAGACCTCCAGTCTGTATCATAAGAATATTAGCACGGTGTAGCGCTAGATGGGCGCTGACACGTACGCGACATTGCGGAACAGGAAGGTGCGCTCGCCGGCGTTTGCTATCATGTCATAGGCCCTGTATGATGAATAAGGCCCGGGTCGAGACGCTCGAGCTAGTGGTCGTACCATCGTTGTGCGTGAAGAGCCGCGTTGTGGATCTCGAGATGACTTCCGGGTACGAAGAAGAGCTTCTTGGGCGCATCTTGCGCATCAATGACCTCACCGTCGTCGTTCTCAACGAGACCATCGAGCATGTACAGGTGCGTTCGGCCGAGTATGAGAAGGCCAGCTTGTATATCGTTAGCTGCGGGTGCCCGAGCCGGAAAGATGGGAAACTTACGCGAAGAGTCGACGCCAGTAATGCGCGCGACGGTACTGACTGCCTCTATTACATCTCCGGGCTCAAGCTCGTGGCGTACGCGGCGAAGCTTGTCGTCGACCTCGGCATCCATGAGTTCACGATCCTCTACGACGAGCGTCAAGCCAGCGCATGTCTTGATAGAGAAAGCTTACCATCGGCATCAGTAGTTGAAACCTCGTATGCTTCGGCCCATGGAGGGACTTCCATGCGCATGCCGAGGTTCTCCTCCGCAGTAGGCATTTCTACTGTACGGTATGACGTCGACTCGTCAATCTTGGATATCTCGTGCTCCTCACCCACAGATTCCAGTCTCTTCCTGTAGTAGCGTAAGCGATTGAACGTCGTGGGAAAGAAGTGATGTAAGCTGCTCACCGGACTCGGAATGGGCCTTCGGTCTCGTCGAGCTGCCACTTGCGTCGCACGTCAGGCTTCTCCCATAGACCGCGCTCCATCGTAAGCGGGACGATCCAGTCGGTCATCCGAGCTCTTTGTCGATTATCTTCACGCCTGTACGTGAAGTATCAGCCGATGCATTGCGGTACATGATGCGAACACACAAGTCTATGACCGTCTTGCGAAGACGCTTCGCCTCCGCGGCGACAATAGTGCGCCTCCATTCGGTTACGCGAGCCATAGCTTTCGTGACGGTCCTCTCACCGAGCTGAATACTCAGGCGCGCGGACGTGAGCCGATGTGTCAACGACCGCCGATCTGTAACAAGAGCTGGATCAACGCCGATGCTGCCAGACTCGCGCCCGTCAACGAGCGTTTCAGACGATTGGATGAGGTCCAGGATCTACGAGCCGGGTCAGGATGCAGTATAATGGTCGTGAACATGTGAGTACGAACCTCTCTCTTATGAGTGCCGGAGACTGCGTTGTCGAGCGCAAGGGTCAAGCCGAAGTGTTTCAGCTTGTCCAAGATACTGAGCAGACCGGGGCGAAGCTCTGCCGACTTCAGCGCGACATAGTACGACTTGAATGCCGTGACGAAAGCTTGGGTGACCGATTGCGACCGGAAGAGATCTCGGAAGCTCTGGCTGGCTGCTTGTAGGTGGATCATGCTTTCCATGAGTGTCGAGCAGAGCGTTTCGTGGTCGGCATCTAAGGCTGTATCAACATTGACATCCAGTGCGCGTGTCGCTGGGACCTACCAGAGTTTCCTATCAGGCCGGTCACGGACGACTGCATGACGGCTAGTGGTAGTTGCTTGTCGAGGGAAGCCAAGACCGTGGGAAAGATGTTCGAACAGATCACTTGAGGATGTGGCGAACTATCGCGAGCATCCCAGAATCGACCAAGTAGGATGCGCAACGTCGCAGACTGTACACCCAAGCTCCAAGCCGACGGAAGAACGGTTCTCAAGACAGTCCAGCCGCCAACGAGCTCGTACTTCCGAATGAAGGTCGAGTTGAAGTCGATGCTCGCGGCAATGAGCTCCAGGATCTGCTCGGCCACGACGGGCGAAGGGTGGCTGCCAAGCAAGAGCAAACAGATACGCGTGAGAGGAAGAGCTGCCGCAAAGGTACGATGCTGTTCTCGAGACGAGCACAACATGCGCACTAGCATCTCGAGTAGACGCTCGGCCTTCTCGTACTTATTGATGTTGTCGATCTTCGAGATAGCCGAGCGCGGTGAAGCGATGAGAGCGGATGCTGAAAGAGACTGTCAGCGTAAGGCATGTCTGATAGTATGTAGTACTCACTGTCGTGCAGATTGGCCGCAAGATACGATACGAGCGGTTTGATGGTTTCGTCTGCAGTGAACATAGCCTCGATCACAGCTTTCAGCGCGTGCTGCACGTATGGCAACGCGTCGTCTGGGTACCACTTCGTTTGCCAGATGAACAAGAGTTGTCGGGTAAGTGGAACCTTCCCAAGTCGCTGTCGTACGTTGAAGCGCTTATAGCGACTGTGCAAGAGCAATATCGAAAAGTGCTCGAGGTGTTGGCGTTGAATCTCTTCTCGCGTTGATGCCCAGAGTTCGAAGTCCAATGCGATCGCGCGATATGCGACAGTGTTCTGTACGATGGACAACCTGTGCAGGAAAGGAGTCAGATACATGGCGTCATTGCGAGATGTAGGAGCATACTCAGGTGAGCGGAAGTTCATTCCTATCAACTCGAAGAGCGTCTCGAACGTGGTCACGTTGATGAGCTGACTCTTGGTGCGCAGGATGGTTCCCAAGATCTCGTAACCGTCTGTGTATCAAATAAGTGCGATAATGCAGTGATAGTACGGACGAACTTACGCATGCGCTCCATGTCCTCTGAGTTCTGCCAGCTACTTCTCAGCCCATCTGTCAAGATTCCGAGCGTCCGCGAGAGTTCATGCGGTGTCTGTCCTCCTGCTTCAGCGGTGATACCGCGTGTCCGGGTAGTAGAGCACTTACAGTTGCGGACTGTATCAGACGAAGCGCTACCGCGGGTCCTCCTATTTGCCACATAGCCAGATCAAGACACCGTGCTTGGGCATGCACGACGTCTCCCTCCTTCGAGAACCGCACGTTCAATTGACCCAGGCGCGAGGGCATATCGGCGATGCTCGGCGTAGCTGAGAAAACGATGGATAGCTCGTCAATCCCGTAGCCTTCGTTCACGGCCTTGACTAGGGTACCCGCGTCCTTGCCTGCAGTCCCCTTGCTCGTCATAGCCGTGAGAAACAGACTGAGACCTGTTGCAGCCTCGTATGTGAGAAACTTGGCGATGTCGTCTGACTGGAAGGTTGCGTTGTAGCGCGGTCCCAGATATTGAATCAGTCGAGGGTAATGATCGGCTACAGATTCTCACGTCAATGATATTGTCTGCTGAGGTAGTTGGGTATACGTACGCAACGGCTTTGCGAGCATCGTGGCTGAAGCCAGACACCAGCTCAGCTCTCCGTCGTCTGAATCCTCTCCAAGCACATAGGAACAAGCTTGCGCGTGGCTCTCCGACTTGGGATACTGCCAGTTCAGTGGCTCAACTAGTGTTCCGTCGAGGTAGAGTACTAGACAAAGTCGATCAATTGATCACATCACGGCTGTAGGCTAATCGCACGTACGCAGGGAAGCATCCGCGGTCCGATGAGGCCGATGAACTACGGTTACGTGCGTCCATCGGTTCTGGGCCAGCGGGGTTTTGACCGTCACGCTCGCGCGCGCTTGACTTGAGCTCCATAGTTCGAGTTTACCATCTGCGCGTAGTTTGACGCTGAAAAGATCCCGAGTGGTCGAGCGGAACGTGAAGATGTTCTGCGTCTTGCGGGTCGGATAGCGCTCAATGTACATCCAAAGCTGCATGCATGATCAGTACATAGAACATGAAGGGCGGTATGAGATAGGTACCAAGAGAGTGAATCCAGCTCCAGGGAGACCGCGAATGTTGTTCTCTGTGAACTTAATCGCAGCCCGCTTCTCAAGGGAGAAGTGGTCAGGCCAGCGAGCTTTCATCCCAGCGCGCAAGATCTCGAGCACTTGAGCATTGAGACTATTGTCCTCGTTTACTGCGGCTCGGAAGATTGCGCGAACCTCAGATGGGTTGGCGCCTAGATCTAGAACGCGGCGCAGCAGCTTCTGCATGACACGTCGCTCCTGCGTAGAGACGTCTCCTTCGCTCTTGTACGACATGAAGTTCCTGAATAGCATATCGAGTAGTCCGAGGTTGCTGAGTACGATCTTGTTCCGGTGACTCAGAGCCGTGAGACGTTCTAATAGCTTGTAGACGACGTAGTGCAAAGACGGGTCCGCAGCTATGTCGGGCAGGAGGCTAAGCAAGAGCTTCAGCGCACCGGGTTGCGCTATGAGACCTAGGCGGGGCTCTGCCTGAAGGATGCGGTGGTCAAGTTCGTCGTATTGAACATCGCGAAGCGACATAAAGATGCTAGCAAGGGAGAAGTCGTGCATTGAGAGTGAGAAGAGGAAGCCGAGGATTTCGTCGCGTAGGTCGTCCTTGACAATCAGAGGTTGCAGGACTTCGGAGAGGGAGTCGTAGCCTACGTGCCGCTGCAGGAGTATATATTCAACATCTATTCGTGTCATACACTGGCTCCAAGTACATACTTCAAAGTACGATGCATTTGGGTCATTATCGTCCATGGCCTCTGACGTGATAACGAATACCAGACGTACACCCTCCAGCGTCTCCTTCGACACTTGTTCCTCCGGCTCGACCACAACCGCGTTACGCGGTAATGAGAGTGTGGACAAAGTACTAATGACGGCCAAGAAACCGTCGCTCTCCCTGAATACGTCTTTCGTGCACGCGTCCTCGAGCATGATGCGGTGCACCTCCGACAGAGTCTACGACATATAGTCTCAGTTACAATCTTCTCTACTTGCGCGACATGACGCACTTCAATCTTCTCTCGTGGTTCATCTAGCGCCTTGAGCCTCTCTATGGCCTGACGCATAAGTTCTTCAAGCACATCGCGTGCTACGTCCTCCGGAGTCGGTTCCTGAGGCGGTAGTGGTGTCTCCGGGGCCAGCCGTGGCGAAAGGTCGAAACGCGCACGGAGCGGCGTAAGGAGAGCGCTCAGCATAGTTTCGTATTATGTTCGTAGACAGGTCATGAGGTGGAGGTAAAGAGGGATGGTGATGGTAGCACGTAACATGCCCTACACGTTCAGCATCAACCTGTTAGCGCGCAAGCGAGCTGCTGAACGCGGCCACGTGAGTTGCCGTATCCAGGAGCTGCGGTCGGCGCGCCTACGACGAGCTTACACCCTGGGCTGGCCTCGCCAGGGCAAAAGACAATGCTCTTCCCCCACATTGTACTGTGAGCACACAACGCGTCTGTGCCTTGCTTTCATGGGCATATAATGACATATCGAGCAGCTACATATGAAACATCATAGAATACAACCGAACGTGTTCTAAGCGATATCGATACTGTATAACTTGTAACGAGCGGGGTACTGAAAAGATCCGTACACATGGCGCACCCCACTGCCTCACGCTTTCAGATGAGACCAGTGCTCGGAATGCATTGACTTGACCAAGGGATGCCGCTGGGCGTCGTAGCGTATGCAGGCACTGAAGTATACCCGCGTTTACGCGCATGGGCGCGATCCGGAGCCCATGCACCACTCTCGTGCAAGTACTTCATCTTGCGGAGTATATCTTCTGCGTTTGCGCGACTCTCTTCCGGAGTGATGCGCGCCCTAGCGGCCAAAACACCCTCAATCGTGTGCACCGTCCTCGGTGCAGGCTTCGGTTCATCTGTATCGCGCTCGCGCTTGATGCCATGCGCGGGCTGTGCAGCAGCCTCCCGAGTGGTAGTATCTTCGGGTACAGGGCCCAAGGTAAAGGTCATAACCTTGCTCTTCTTCTTTCCCTTTCCCTTCGCCTTCTTCTTTGCCTTAGCCTTCCCTTGACGCAGGGCGACTGAACCAACAGTAGATGCACCCGCACTCTCCGCACCACTCTCTTCGCTAGAGCCAGCAACAGGATCTTCAACACTAAGCGACTCCAGACCCGCAGAGACGTCCTGCACCGTCGGCTCAGCCATGACGACCGGTTCACCAGCTTCAATCGCAGCCAGCACTGCAGCTGCATCCATCGGCTGCGGTGTACTCTCCCTCTCTCTGGCAGCAGCCGCGCGCGCCGCCACGCGTGCTGCCCGTTTCTCTCTCGGATTCGAAGGAGTAGCGGGGACAGGCGATCCTTCCACGACGTTGCGCGCCCACGACGGCGTCGCCTCGGGATCTCCGAATGAAGTCTCGAGAGACACGTTGCCTGTGCTCTGACGTCCTGTGCTCTGACGTCCTTGTTGTCCGCCCGTCTGAAGAAGCGGAGGAACAGGAAGGCTTCCGACGCGCAAGAAAGCGCCACTGTCGTCTCCAGAGCCAACGGACATAGGCGTGGCACCGACCCCATCCGAGTCCCTAGGCCTCCGCGTCGGCGTAGCAGGTATCATGGCGAACGAAGGGGGCGTCGGTAAACCAGTGAACATCGGTGGAGCTTGAAGCCCCGGAAACGCTGGCGGCGGTGGCAGTAACATTAAGCTAGCGTTCGAGCTCGTACGTCCCAGCCCATAGTTCGAGTTGTGTGAAGAGCTGCGAAGAAGAGCGGTACTCCGTGTACGGGGACCACTTGGGGTGCGCATCATCTGCGCGGTTGCGGACGGCGGCGGAGGTGGTTGCGTCAGGCGTGCCGTCGTGCGCGTCGATGGTGCGTTCGTTCTGGTATCAGCAGTAGAAGTGGTGGATGCCGCAGCCATGGCTCGCGTCGTCGCGCCGGGTCTCGCGATTGTGGTCGGTCGTGTGGTTGTCGCTGTCGACCGAGTAGCGGTTGTATTCGCCCTAGTGGTGTTCTGACTCCCGGTCCTAGCTACTCCTGCTCGAGGGGCCGGTATTCCGCTCGTACCCGCACGAGCAGCAGCGCGCGTAGTCGGAGCATTGCCAGCACGATTGCCGGTGGTCGTGTTCGTAGCCGACGCCGCGCGTGTAACAGGACCCGCCCTCGGTGCTGCAGCCTCGACAAGTTGAATAGACCCTTGCGCCGTCACTCGCGGTACGGTACTGTCGAAGACATCCATCAGTCAGGGTTGAAACTGGAAGTGAAGAGTGAAGAGGGTAGGCGTACCGTCTAGTATTAGGCCTGTTCGTGCCCGTCGTCGCGGTGTTGGCGGGCATTGTGGCTGGTAGTCTGTAGTCAACCAATGAAAGAAGAGACGGGAAACGGCGAGAAAGATCTTGGTGGGTAGCGCCTCTTATATGCACAAAGAGTGTGGTTGTCCCATCACCCTTCACCGCAGAACACGTTGCCATCACCACGTTCCCAACAAACCACAACCACGAGCCCCGCCTTGACTGTCCGCATCTTGAAACAGGCGTTAACTAAACTCCACAATAGGATAGTGTCATTGAAAAACGAGCGTGTCCTTCCTCTATAGCGTAGCGGTAAGCATAGACACGAAAACATGTAAGAGCGAGCGAGCGTGACGGCGAATAAAACGAGGCGTAGTCTAGGGATTAAAAGCCGAACCTAACTTCCTCCTCTTCGAAACTAATCCAAAAGGACCTTCCTCGTCCTTTGTACAGTCTCCTCACACCTCAGCGAAGACGGGCTCCGGCTCCGGTTCATCGCACAGCGGGTACTCGTACCCGACAAAGCTCATGACGCTAGACCTCAATCAGCACCTTCGCGCCGCAAGGTCGAAAGGAAGAGGTACGCACTATATGGTCCCATCCGCACACCCAACGACAACCTCTTCATGCGTAAGCTGCATGCTCATCGGATTCTTCTCCGGCGTCGCCAGCCCCGCGAACTTATTCGGCAATCCGCTCATCAAACCCTTCATGCTGTTCGCGGCGCCCGGTCCTGGCGCGAGCACGCGCCATGCGCCGCCGAGTGCGCGGATCTCAGTGTCGAGCGCGACGGGCTCGCTGAGAAGTTTCTTGTCGGAGTTGGTCCCGCCGCTGCTCGTTTCGTCGTCTGAATCGGAGTCTTCGGCTTGGCGCAGAGGTTCGCGGTCGCGGTGAGTCGACATGAACATCTATTGGGCACACGAGGATCAGTTCCGATGCATTCGGTACAAGTTGAGAAGGAAAGACGTACCCGGCGGTCGGCGCCCGCGCGCGAACTAAACCTCGTAGCGGTAACGACCCTCCTCTTGCTCGCATCCACAGCGCCAATAGCGACATCGGGTGTCTCAACAACAGCAACCAATTTCGGTGGCGCAGTCAACACCGCCGCTCTCAGCCCCAAACTCGCGCTCGGCGGCGGGTTTGCACTAGGACTTTGCGGGCCGCCCATACTTGCGCGCGAGGAGGTTGACAGGTTGAGTGCGGACCGGCGCGGGCCGCCGGCGCCTGGCCGCGTCGAGATGGGTGGCGAGGGGAGTGGACCGGGAGATGGGGAGAGTGAGCTCGGTGTTATGGATTTGCGCGAGGGTGTGCTCATTGAAGATGTGCTGCGTGAGAGCGCAGAGAGCGTGCGTGGGCGGATGGATGTAGAGGCGCCGAATGCTGATGGCGGAGGGGAGGTCGCTGTAGTGGGGGTCGACTCCTCGGCTTCGGTCCATTGCAGGTGCAGAATGACGGACTTCGTCGCACACTGTGACGATGAAGTGGCATTAGCGTTAGCTCGAGGATGAGCAAGGTGCAACGTACCGTCATGACGCTTCCACGCGCGGCGAACCATTGCAGCATGTCGTTAGGCGCCCGTCCCACGTTGAATAGGCGCGCATTGACGATCGGATCAGACCCGCCGAGCTCAGAGAGCTTGAACTGGCTGATCATCTCGCGGCGCTCTGCACATTGACCTCAGTACGCCGAATGTTCAAGAAGCGAAGGAAGATACGTACTAATGCTGAATACGCGCACGACGCCGTCAATGGTGACACTGACAACGCGCTCGCCCTCCTCGCCGCCGCTCTTGACGAGTTGCACACCGATGCTGACCGTGGTCTGCTGCCCAAACCTATGGTAGTCATTAGCACTCCGGTATTCAATGCAGGTCTTTGACGGGCTTACCGCACGATCTTGCTCCCCGCCCTCCAATCCCAGCATACGAGCGCCTTGTCCGCACCAGCTGACACGAGGTTTGTCGAAGAGAGTGCGACGGCACGGATACCATTGAGATGACCCGCGAGCTGCTGCAGCGGTGCGAAGGTGAGAGATGAGAATAGGTGCACGCGTCTGCGGTCTGGTCAGCTTCGCAACATAGGGCAAGGAGCGCGGTACGTACCCAACGTCGTGGAACCCGACAACAAACACTTCTTCCTCGGCCAAGAAGTCTACGCACGACACAGGCTTCTTGACCTGCAACACGCGCGTGCATTGGCCCGTTGTGACGTCCCAGAACCTGCAGTCACCCGATTAGCCTTCATCTTCACCCGCAATGGAATGAGAAAGCGCACCGGATAGACTCGTCATAGCTACCACTGATAAGCCTCTTGCCACGCAGAAGTAGTGTAGTGACAAAGTTCGTATGGCCAGGTAGGAATCGGATGTTCTGCGGGAGAGCGTGGAGGAAGTTGGCTTCACGATGGTGCAAGCTGCGGTACAGCGGTTCCCTGTACAATCTCAATCAGTCTTGCTTAGAGGTACGATGGAGAGTTGAGGGATCCGTACCAGCCCTCAGGCGTCTTCGGCGCACGAACAGGGACGGGATCCGACGCGGTTATGCGTAGACAATGGGCGCGCCAGAGCGCAGGCATGTGTACTGCTTGTTGCCACTTCTTCGACACCTACACGCGCCAGTCAGTTCGCATACGACGATGTACTTGTGGGGAAGATGATGTACCGTTTCGACGGCCAAGAGCTCGCGCACGTTGAGCCATTTGAGTACACCGAAGGCCAATGGTGGTGCGAGCGAGCCGATGATGTCGAATGTGCTCTTGGCGTACTTCTCGAGGAGGAGGATTTGGAGGCGGATATCGCCCGGAAGCGCAGCTACGGAGGCGTATCAGTATATATAATCATGGGTCGCAGGGAATGAAGAGAACATACAGTCAAGAATAATTGCCATGAGCCTCATACGTTCTTCGCGGCTGAGTCCACGCACGGCGCGTCGGACGGCGTACTCATCGAACTCCCTGCAGTATACGTCAGAATAATGTCTTCCGTAGGACCAAATGTAGAACATACCCATCGCGTCCTCTCAGCGCTGTCAATAGATCGGTGCCCTCGCCGCCTTCCTCGCCATCGCCTGCATACCCGCCCCAGTAACCGCCACGCTTCTTCCCGCCGCATGTACACCACTCATCGCCTGAACCGATTTGTTGAGTGTTGCTGGATGGGTCGGCTTGGGCGCGGAGAAGGCGTATCTACGTATGGCAGTACAGAAGTCAGTAACGGGTACAATGGTCTTTTGATGAAAGAAGTACCTCGGCTTGCATCGCGTGGAGTTGAGCAGCGCTGCTCGCCTGGGTCCGCTCAAGTAGACGTCGATAGCGCTGTAAAGCTCGAGCGTGTTGGTCTGCGAGCTCATCGAGCGCAGCTTGGAACTAGATATCAGGATGTTAGCCAAGCTCCAGCCCAAAGTTTTGAATACGCGTACCTCCTCGTCAACGCCGCCCTCGCCTTCCTCGGTAACCATCTCAAGCGTCATCCCATCATCCTCTCCACCATCCCAAATGCTCCCATCCATCCCACTCATGACGCTACTCCCAAGCGTCATGGTCATATCCGCGTCCTCTTCGCCAGGGAACGCAATTACACTCGCGCCGCTGCCTTTGCTCTTCCGCCCGCTGCCAGGTGTCTTATGCGGTGAAGCACCTACACCGATAGAGCCGGCGCTGGACTTGCGCGGCGTAGCGTTCTGACCGGGGGAAGCATGTGCGACTACTGATGGGGAGGTGCTGGCGCGCTTCTTGGCTTGAGGCGAGGGCGTCGTGAGCTTAAAGCTCGGGCCACTGGGCATATTCTTCGCAGCTGGACTGCCCTTCGCGGCAGCCGGACTGCCCTTGCCAGCTGCAGGACTGCCCTTGACCTTTGCGGTAGTCGACGGGCTGCCCTTGATGCCGAGAGGGTTCGAAGGCGAAGCCATAGGACCGAGTGACCGAACGCGTGCGCGGGGTGTGGCCGGCGCAATGGGCACAGCCGTAACGGGACTGGGCGGCTCAATATCCTCCTCCCTCTCCCTCTCCAGATCCCTCATAGAGAATGCCGAGCGCAGCGAAGATGCCGAAGACGCCGTGGAAGAAGTAGAGAGCGAGTTCGAGGTAGAGTTCGAGTTCGAGCGAGAAGGCACGAGGAGGGTGTGCCGCCTATTACTCGATAGTGAAGCGGATGCCGTCGAAGCTGATGACGAGATGCGTGGTGCGGGAGAGGGTGATCCTACGCCTGTGGGCATGGACATGCGCTTGTTAGGCGAGCGCGAGCCGGTCGTCGATCCAGCGGTGGGAATCGCGCTCAGCCGCCTGTTCGCGACACTGACGCTCGGCGAGCGCGCGCCGCTTACACTGCCAGCCTTGGTATCGAGACTGAGCTTATTCGCAGCATTAAAGCTCGTGGGACCAGTAGAGTTCGTGCGACTGATGTTGCCTGCGCGGGAGTTCGTTGAAACAGAGAGCGGGGTCACGGTCGAAACGGAGCCAGTCCGAGGTTTGGAGGTCGAGAGAGAAGTGCGCCGGACGATGCGAGAAGGTGTTTCGGATGGCGGCGCTGCCATCCTGGGCTAGCAGAAGTCGTGTGGCGGCAAGAGGATACTTACGCGCACTGTACGCGTGCGCGCTGTTCAACCTTCGCCACGTGCGGGAAATGTGGCCCAGCGCTGAGCGCGAGAGCGCGTCGCCGTGGTTTCTCTCCCGCCCCCAGCCCAATTCAGGCTCGACTACCTCGAATCGCTCAGGGCGGTGCCACATCCGTCGCTTAAACCTTCCTGCGTAGGAATGCTGCTCTAGCAGCATGAAGAGAAGCTGTAATAGGTGTACAACGAGTGCTGTATGTGTATGGCTAGGAGCTGTGTATCTGTCCCATACCATCAATGCACCGCAAGTGATGTCGCCTGAACGTCGGGTCTCTCAACGCTTATAGAGCCCCCGTGTCACTGCAACTTTGTCGTCGAGTGCACATTCATACGGCACGCCGTCGGGTTTCACAGCGTAAGATGAGTGTTATGGTGATCAACGGAGACCAACCGATACTCGAGGGGGTATCTGAACGCTCATAGATCGGGGCCGTGCGGTCGCCGCACTCGGTCGTGGAGGCTACCAGCGCCTATAGGACACGCTGCTAGGGCATCACAGGCTGTTCTCCTTGGACTCACGATCACACCCGCCGACCTTGGCTCCGACGCCCATCTTCCCTCCATTGCTCTGGTCGTCGTGTATCTTATGTCTGACACCCTAACCTGCGAACTCGGTAATGAAAGCAGAGGGGTGTTCAAGCGTGATGACGTCCCTGTTGGCTTCCAAGTGGCTGCGGCTTCATGGGATCTTGCTTTCCGCGGAATCTCATCTTTTGGGGGAGCCATTATTCAAGCAAATGTGCGTGCACCCACTCAATTACGGACACCATTCTCACACCCAGCTCAATGTATAGATTGCGCTTACCGCCGAAGATATATATACGGCCCAGCGCCATACCTACACAGCGTATCAGGTCCTTCGATCTCCACATGAGCTGCCACTTACATCACTAAGCCGCGATCCCTCCAGACATGCAGCAGTCGACAATCTAATGATCCTCAAGTCGATAGCCTACTCAAGACCTTGACGACGGCTATGAATGCCTGTGTCCAGATCCAAGCCACGCATGTACTGCACAGAAAGGATTGTGTTGAGCAAATCTTGGATCAATTATGGTGGCTAGCATCCGTCATAGATGATCTTGCCCAGAATTCTGTCCGTACGTGACCCTAAAGCATGGTTTGGGACGTCTCTGACTGATGCTGCTCGGATGATAGCCATATTCCTCAACGAATACCGTGAACAAGAACTAGCAAGACTCGTCGTAATCCTCGTCACACCCGACCCATCCACCGGAGTCAACAGCGCGTCCACTTGCGCCGATTCCACCACAGTCTACAGCACAATCGCCAAGGATGCGCTCCTCTTTACCTTGGAGGGAATTGTGCAGTCGTCCGACGCCTTTCCGCCCCTGAAGAGCGCGGCTTCTGGGCTGCTGTTCTTCGCGACCTCAGCAGATGTGAGTCTCCCGGAGACTGCAGTAGATCCTGAAACGGTCATTGACGCGGTTCCAAGATGGCTTCGTGTAACAAGAAGCATATACGCGACATACACAAGCGCGTCAACAGCCTGGCCGCTTCACTCAGATCAGGCGCCGAAGAGGGCAGCATGCTGACAACCGCACATCAAAAGGCTATCAGCACTCTTGCAGCGTATGGATACCGATTCTTGTCTCACCTATCAACCCGCGCTGATTCCAATCCAGCGATATCTCTTCGCTCAAAGAAGAACTCGAAGCCATCGTCAACGAGCGCAAGAATCGCCTCAGGCGCTTCTTCAGCGCGAAGCGCCATCGCGAGGAGCTCCAAGACATCGTATGGCAGCTGGACAACGCTCGCTCGAACTACACCGTACGTGCTTACACCGTCCATGCCAACATGATGATCAAGTCTTCTGACGGGACATGGTAGACGGCGGTTGCGACGCTGAACGCGACGACGAACGCGCAGGTGCTGGCTTATGTGCGCCCCATGGCGTTCGTCATGGGTATAAACCCGATATATGCGCCCGGTACGCGCCCGGTTGACGCGGCCTCGTTCCCGTTCGGGCCGTCTCGCTTCGACGAGGTTTAATCGACAGTGAGTGGTGCGAGGTCGAATGGGGGACAGGAAAGGATATCAAGATGAGAGTCTGCAAGGCGGGTTCTACAGGGTGAACATCCAAAGTTGGACCGTAGAGCTCGTGTATTGCATCTGTATGTTTATCCTAATCCAGAAGACTCGAGTGCATCTGTGTAGATGTGGGTATATATCAGAGCCTGCGCTGAGGGACGACCGTGGTGGTGCGAGTGCAAAGTGCGCGAGACGCGTCTTCCAGCCGCATGCGTCAATTCCACTCCTGACCATCACCACCTCGAACTTGTTGTAACTCGTCACTAGCCATGGCTCATGTGCTTCCCGACACGACGAAGCTTCAGCGCTTAAAATATACCCGACCGTCTCCGTGAATGAGCTCGTCATGGTGCCGGCGCGTATAACTTCTATCCTGCTACCCTACGCGATCAACGTCCTCAGCCCGACTCGGGCCACGCTGCCTCGACCAGCACCCTATCCTAATGCAATACTCGACTCCACCCAACCCTCAAAATGCGGGCATATTACTGCAACCCCTCCGCCCCAGGCGACCATCGTGCCCTACACGACTCCGGCCGCCCCGTCTCACCCACCCAACTCGAGTCCATCGGAGCGGCGTACTGGCAGATCCCAGTTACCGACGACGGAAGCTGGGAGGAGAAGTGGCAAGGGAGAGGGGATACAAGAACCGCAATGCTATCAATGTTAGCAGGGAGGGATTAGGCGAGGCGTATGAGGCGAAGTTGAAGACTTTCTTCGAGGAGTGCGTCTCCTTCCCCCCCTTCTCCCTGTTCTCCCCACCCTCTCATAACTGAATGTGCTACGCGTAGGCATATGCACGAAGACGAAGAGATCCGGTACATCCTCTCCGGCTCGGGCTTCTTCGACCTGCGCGAGCACAGTGGGCTGGACGAGGAGTGGATCCGCGTGCATGTTACGCCTGGAGACTTACTCGTTGTGCCGGCGGGGATATATCATCGGTTTACGCTGGACGAGGGGGACAGGATTAAGGCTATGCGGTTGTTCAAGGTGCGTTCGGTCAGGTGTCGCGCTGGAGAGGGACTGATTGGGCGCTGTGTAGGAGGAGCCGAAGTGGACGCCGCATAACAGAAGCCAGGAGACGGACCAGAACCCGTTTAGGGTTGGATACCTCGAGTCGCTCAAGGGCGGTGCTATATCCGTCGCTTGAAACTACGGCGTGGAAAGGCTGTTCAATCCGTGTGAAGAGAAGCTCGCGAAGATGTATAAGTGAAATGCTGTATGTGTATGCCTAGGAACCGTCTATTCGTCTCGCACCATCGATGCGATGCATTGCCAGTCATGTCGCCTCGACGTTAGTTTCCTCGGTTCAACGGCTGGAGAACCCCCAAGCCATTGCGACTTCGTGTTCGGCCCCGCAGATCTGTGGCACATCGTCTCGTAATGAATACGGCCGCGGAAAGGCGTCGTGCTCACCAAGTAACGGTTCGCGGGATGCTATCTAGACGCTCATTGATCGTGGCCGTACAGTTCTTGCACTCGGTCGTGGGGCTCTGTCGATGCCCCAGCGCCTACAGAACACGCTGTGTGAACATTGCAAGCTGACCTCTTTGGACTCTTGATGCAGTGCTCCCCTTCTTGTCTCCTACGCCCATCTATCCTTTGTTTCTTCGTGTTGTCGACCTCATAGTGTCTGCCCATGTCCGAGATGACAGACTCACAGTACGCATACGCGCCACCTGGTCTACCGCAATGGCTTGACACTCTTTGCAGATTGCCTGTCCTCGGCCCACAAAGGGCTTCCCGACCTGGGTCACTCTACAAGGAGATACATTTGCGCATTCATCGTGAGCGGCGATTTCTTTCACCGCATGCTTAGTGCTCATAATAAACATCAGTCGATGGGTGCAAAGGTCTACCGCAATCGAGGACTTTATCTGAGAGTTCTGCGTCTCGAAAGTTCCATGTTGGAATTTGGTATATCTTGGGCCGGGATGATGGGAACAGTGTGTACTCTTCGCATGTTTATGAGGGTACAGGCTGCCTCAGAGGCACGGTACAGTGGGATGAGACTTTGTATATGTACGTCTGACAACTCCCTGAGCGTGAACCGTTGAAATATCTGCTCATATTCGCCTAGAACCTGTCTTGAGCACAGTCTTGTTCGAATCGCCTTGTCTGAAGCAGGATACGGCGAAATCTGCGAGTGTGTCTGTATTGCTGGAGATCTGACGCAGGTTCCTTCCGGTGTGTATATACCGCATGTATCGAGAACACGCTGATGGATGACCATTCTCGTCTAGTATCACTTAAGCCGACGTCATGGACCCACTTCCTCTACGACACTAACACAGAGTCCACTCTCTTCCTCTCTGTATCTGTAGTCTCTGCTGACTGCGGCGACGAGAATTGCGAGTTCGCCAATGCAAGCAGCATGGTGTTTGAGCGTGATTATGTTCCCTCTGAATCACAATCACCTGCGAGCTCATGGGAGGTTGCTTTTCGTGGACTATCCTCTTTTGCGGGAGCCACCTCTCGAGCAAATGTGCGTGCAGCCACTCAATCATGGGTGCTATTCTAAATGTTGGCCTGATGTATAGATTGCGAGTAATGCTTACGCTATGTGCTGGACCCAGCGTTGGATCTACAAAGCATACCAGGTCCTCCAACTACCACCGTTGAGCCGGTGTCCACAATACTAAGCCACGATTCCTCCAGACACGTAGTACCCGACAATCCGATCATCCGCAAATCGACAACCTACTCAAAATCTTGACGACGGCTGTGAATACCTGTGTGCAAGTCCAAGACTCGCGCGTATTGCATAGGAGGGATTGTATTGAGCAAATCACTACTCAATTAAACTCGCTAGCAATACTGATGGAAGAGCTTGCCGGTAATCACGATTGTACGTGGCTTCAAAATCACTGTGAGACATCTCTGTCTGATACCATCCGGATGGTAGCTGGCCCCACCGAATACCGCGAGGAAGAGCTGGCAAGACTTGTAGTGATCCTCGTCTCACCGGACCCATTCACCGGAGTCACCAGCACTTCCACCGGCGGCGATTGGACTGCACTCTTCGGGACAGTCGCTAAGGACGCGCTCCTCTTCACTTTGGAGGGCATCGTGCAATCATCCGACGCCTTTCCGCCTCTGAAAAGTGCGGCTAGTGGGCTCCTGTTCTTCGCGACGTCTGCGGACGTGAGTTGCTTCGCGAGTGTGAAGCTGGATACTGACATTAGTGAAAGATGGCGTCCAGTAATAAGAAGCACATCCGCGACATTCACAAGCGCGTCAACAGCCTGGCCGCTTCGCTCAAACGCGGTGCTGCGGAGGGCAGCATGCTCGCGCCGGCGCATCAAGACGCCATCAGCGCTCTCGCCGCGTACGTATACAGAACTTCCCTCGACTCCCGAGCCGTACTGAGTCCCGTGCAGAGATATCTCTGCGCTCAAAGACGATCTCGAGAGCATTGTCAACGAGCGCAAGAGCCGCTTCAGGCGCTACTTCAGCGCGAAGCGCCATCGCGAGGAGCTGCAGGATATCGTATGGCAGCTGGACAACGCGCGATCGAACTACACCGTACGTCCTGACACTGGCTAGGCTTGTATGATGTTTAGCCTGGCTAATTAGCCTTGACAGACGGCGGTTGCGACGCTGAACGCGACAACGAACGCGCAGGTTTTGGCGCATGTGCGGGCATTGACTGTCGTTATGGGCGTGAATCCGATACATCTCCCCGGGACGCGGCCTGTAGACGCTGTCTCGTTCCCGTTCGGATCGTCACGGATTGAAGAGGTTGGAGCTTAGAGGTTTAGGTACGATACGCACTGGATGTTGAAGCCCGGGTTAGGAAGTGTAGCCGATATACCCTGCATTTGGGTGAATTGTAAAAGACCAGACGTTGTAACCCACGAACTATCAAGGTTCATGCACGGAATGTATGCGAATTTGATTTCTCGAGATGCTTGAACGACCCGGTAAGCATATAGAGTATGCGGTGACCATCGCGGTTCGAGTGCAAGGGCAGTGAAGTCACAAGTGCGCGCCGCGGGCGGCATATCAGGGCATATCTCTGGCCGCGCACGCCAACTTCACTCTCGACCACCACCACCAACGGACTTCTTGTAAATGGCCACTAGCTATGGATCGTCTACCACGTGATACAATGACGCGAATGCGCTCAAAGCAAAGGCGGCAGTCTTCTTCGGCAAGGACACCGTAGCCCGGGCGCATACAACTTCGCGCAGGCGACTCCGGCGGCGCCGTGCCGCCTCAACGAACCCCCTACCCCGACCTACTTCTCGAGCCCGCACAACCCTCCAATGCGTTTATACTACCTCGACCCCACCGCTCCAGGCGACCAGCGCTTCCCGCACGACTCCGGCCGCCCCGTCTCCCTCGACCGGCTCAAATCCATCGGCGCGGCGTACTGGTAGATCCCTGTAGCCGAAGACGGGAGCTGGAAGGAGAAGACCATCGAAGCGGCAGGAGAGAGGGGCTATAATAACCGCGATGTGCTTAATGTCAGCATGGAGGGGCTGGGCGAGGCGTATGAGGCGAGGTTGAAGATTCTCTTCGAGGAGTACGTGTAGTCTCCCACCTCTACTTCCTCTCCCTTTCCTTGCCTCTCGCTTCTTGTGCAAGTCGTACTCCATACGACTTCTGCGTCGGCACGGGGTGATCGGATGCGGTGCGCTCTCCCCGCGCGCACCTACACCATCGCAGAGGGGTATCTATTCGCGCGCGCCAACGCGCTCGCGCTCTCACTAGAGCCAGTTGGCATGCCGGCCGGCCCGGCACGCTTCTTTCATCTTCGGAGCGGAAGCAGCTTGCGTGCGTGGTCTATGCTTAGGCAAACAGCCAGCCGACGCTGCCGCTTCGTTGCGAGCAAGCTCAGACGTCAGTCGTCCAGTGCTGTGCGCGCTATCGACCAACAACTCTGCTACTCCCACGCTGAGCTCCGCGTTTGCACCCCTGCACTGCGCGTACTTGTGCACGGACCAAAGATCTCCATTCGTCGTCCCCTTTCTCGTCCGTCCTGCGCCCTCTCCCTCGCTCGCCTCCTGGTTATACACACATCTAACGCCCATCACATAGGCACATGCACGAAGACGAAGAAATCCGCTACATCCCCTCCGGCTCGGGCTTCTTCGACCTGCGCGAGCACAGCGGGCCGGACGAGGAGGGGATCCGCGTACACGTTACGCCGGGCGATTTACTTGTCGTACCGGCGGGGATATATCATCGGTTTACGCTTGATGAGGGGGATCGGATCAAGGCTATGCGGTTGTTCAAGGTGCGTTCGGTCAGGTGTCGCGCTGGAGAGGGACTGATTGGGTTCTGTGTAGGAGGAGCCGAAGTGGACGCCGCATAATCGCAGCCAGGAGACGGACCAGAACCCGTTCAGGCTCGGCTATCTTGAATCGTTGAAGGGCGGTGCCATATCTGTCGCCTGAGCCCTCGCGCACAGGATTGCAGTTCTACTCGTGAGAAAAGAAGATGTTTCAGATGTATAAACGAAAGCTGTATGTGTATGCCTAGGAACCGTGTATTTGTCCCACGCTATCGATGCACCGCCCGCCTTGTCGCCTCGTCGTTGGTTTCCTCACGCCATCGCGACTTGGTATCTGGTTGCACAGAGCTGTGGCACTTCGTCTTCTTATAAATGCAGCCACTGGAAAGAGGTCGTGCTCGCCATGTCATGGTGCATGGGATGGTATCTAGACGCTCATTGATCGCGGCCGTTCAGTTTCCGCACTCAGCCGTGGGTCTTATAGTGGCTCTGTTGATGCAGGCTCCCGCAGAACACGCTGTAAGAGCATTGCAAGGTGTTCTCTTTGGACTCGCGATGCAGTGCTCCCCTCCTTGTCTCCTACGCCCATCTTCCCTTCGTTTCTTCGTGTCGTTGGCCCCATCGCGTCTCTTATGTCTGACGTGCTAGACTCTTCGTACGTATGCACCGTCTAAGTATTCTCAAGCGATGGCCTGAACGTTCCCTGCAGATTGCCCGTCTTTGGCCCACGAAGAGCCGCTCGACCTCATCCGCTCGGCAAGGAGATATGTTTGCGCATTCACCGTGCGTCTCGCCCTCCTACGTCGCATGCCTCGTGCTGATCATCATCAGTTGATGGGTGCAAAGGTCTACCTCAACCAGAGACTCCATTCGAGAGTTCTGGGCCTCGAGAGTTCTGTGTCAAGATTTGGTATATCGCGAGCCGGGATTATGGGAACTTCGTGGACTCTTCGCGCGTTCATGAGGGCACAGGGTGCCTCCAAGGCACGGTACAATGGGATGAGACTCTGTACATGTACGTCTGACGACTCCCTGAGCGTGGATCGTTGAAATATATGTTCATGTCCGCCTAGTACCTGTTGTGAGCACAGTTTTGTTCGCATCACCTTGTATAGAGCAAAATACGGCGAAATCTACGAATGTGTCTGTATTGTTGGAGATCTATTGCAAGTTTCCTCCGGTGCGTATATACAGTGTATATCAGTATCACACTGAGGGAGGACCATCCTCGCATAGTATCACTTCTGCCGACGGAATGGACCCAGTCTCGCCCCGACACCATCTCAGAATGCACTCTTTTCATCTCTGCTTCCACAGTCCCTGCTGATGGCGAAGAAGAGAACTGCGAACTCGACAACGTTAGCAGCATGGTGTCTGAGCATGATGATGCTCCCTCCGAATTGCAATCCCCCGCGAGTTCATGGGAGGTTGCTTTTCGTGGACTCTCCTCTTTTAGAGAAATCACATATCGAGCAAATGTACGTGCAACCGATGTATCCTGGGCGTTATTCTCAGACTGGCTTGATGTACAGATTGCGATTGACGATATGTATTGGACCCAGCATCGGATCTACACAGCATACCAGGTCCTCCAACTACCACTGTTGAGCCGGTGTCCACAACACTAAGCCGCGATACCTCCAGACATGTCGTACTCGACCATCTGATCATCCGCAAATCGACAGCCTACTTAAAATCTTGACGACGGCTGTGAATACCTGTGTACAGGTGCAAGCCACGCGTGTCCTGCAGAGGAAAGATTGTGTTGTGAAAATATCCGGAGAATTATACGGGCTAGCATCTGTCATGGATGGTATTGCCGAATATCCTGCCTGTACGTGATCTCACACATTGTGCCGAACGTCTCTCACTGACACTGTTTGGACGGTAGTCGACCACACCAAATATCGCAAAGAAGAGCTTGCGAGACTCGTCCTAATCCTCGTCACACCGGACCCACCCCCCGGAGCCACTAGCACTTCCACCGACGGCGATTGGGCTGCACTCTACGGAACGATCGCCAAGGACGCAATCCTCTTCACCTTGGAGGGCATCGTACAGTCGTCCGACGCCTTTCCGCCGCTGAAGAGTGCGGCAAGCGGGCTACTCTTCTTCGCGACGTCAGCGGATGTAAGTCGCTCGGCGGTTTGTATACAAGTGTGAAGCCGGATACTGACATTCGGGGAAGATGGCGTCGAGTAACAAGAAGCACATCCGCGACATCAACAAACGCGTCAACGGCCTGGCCGCCTCGCTCAAACGCGGGGCTGCGGAAGGCAGCATGCTCGCGCCGGCGCATCAAGAGGCCATCAGCGCTCTCGCCGCGTACGTATTCGGAACTTCGCTCGACCACTGAGCCGTACTGAGTCGTGTATAGAGATATATTTGCGCTGAAAGAAGACCTTGAATCCATCGTCCGCGAACGCAAGAGCCGCTTCAGGCGCTTCTTCAGCGCGAAGCGCCATCGTGAAGACCTCCAGGACATCGTCTGGCAGTTGGACAACGCTCGCTCGAACTACACCGTATGTCATTACATCGTCCAGACTAACACCATGATTCACAATGATGACGCGACGGTAGACGGCGGTCGCCACGCTCAACGCGACGACGAACGCGCAGGTGTTGGCTTATGTGCGGCCCATGGCGCTCGTCATGGGCATAAGCCCGGTATATGCGCCTGGTACGCGCCCAGTTGATGCGGCTTCAATCCCGTTCGGGTCGTCTCGGATCGAAGAGGTCTCGTCAGTTTAGGTTTAGGTTTGATACGCACTGGAAATTGAAGCTGAGGTCGGGAAGTGCAGTCGATGTATCATGCTTTGAGGCGGATCGTGGAGAACGAGACTTTGTAATACATAGCACGCCGAGGCTGCCGTACGGAATATATATGTGAACGTGATCCTGCGAGATGCTTGGGCGATCCAGCACAGTCCAATACGTGTATATAGTGTGCAGTGACCATGGTGGTTTGAGTGCAAGGGCAGGAAGTGCGCGCGGCAGGCGGCGTATCTCTGGCCGCGCACGCCAACTTTACTCTCGACTGTCACCATCAACGGACTTCTCGAAGATGGCCACTAGCTATGGATCGTCTGCTACGTGATATAATGACGCGGATGCGCTTAAAATAAAGGCGGCACTCTTCGTCGGCAAGGACGTCGTAACCCGGGAGACCCGGGCGCATATACAGCTTCACGGACGCGACTCCGGCGCCGCCGTGCCGCCTCGACCAACTCCCTACCCCGACCTACTTCTCGACTGCACACAAACCTCCAATGCGCGCATTCTACTTCGACCCACCGCCCACGGTGACCAGGGCGCACTTCACGACTCGGACCGCCCTGTCCCCTCCTAGCCTAAGTACGTCCGCACGGCGTGCTCGCAGTTCTCTTCAATGGAAGACGGGAGCTGGGAGGAGAAGATCAACGAGGTCGCAAGGGAGAGAGGACACAAGAACTGCGATGTGATCAATGTTAGCAGGGAGGAGCTGGGCGAGGCGTATGAAGGGAAGTTGAAGATTTTCTTCGAGGAGTGCGTCTCTACCCCCCATCTCCCCCCATGCTCTCGTCACTAAGGATGTTGTTCATAGGCATATGCATGAAGACGAAGAAATTCGCTACATCCTGTCCGGCTCGGGGTTCTTCGACCTGCCCGAGCACAGCGGGCCGGACGAGGAGTGGATTCGCGTGCACGTCACGCCTGGAGATCTGCTTGTTGTGCCGGCGGAGATATATAATCGGTTCACGCCGGACGAGGGGGATAGGACTAAGACTATGCGGCTGTTCAATGTAAGTATCCGCGTTCTCTGTACCTTCATACCTCCGCCATCTTCCTTCGTAATCGCATTGCATTTGAAATCTGCGTGGCTGCTGCGGCCGCTCTGATAACTTGCACCATTCCTTTCTGTCGAGGTCTCATGATGCTAACTTGGTTCATCTCGCACAGGAGGAGCCGAAGTGGACGCATAACCGAAGCCAGGAAACAGACCAGAACCCGTTTAGGGTTGGATATCTCGGGTCGCTCAAGGGCGGTGCTATATCCGTTGCTTGAATCTTCCTGTGCCGGCAGGCTGTCCCATCCGTGTGAAGAGAAGCTCGCGAAGATGTATCAATGAAATGCTGTATGTGTATGCTTAGCGACCGTGTATTTGTCCCACGTTGTCGCTGCATCGCCAGTCATGTCACCTCGTCGCTGGTTTCCTCAGTTTCCACGCCGTCTGGAGAAATACATGCCATCACGACTCCGTATTTAGCCCCACAAATTTGTGGCGCCTCGTTTTGATGTGAATGCAGCTACGGGAAAGGGGTCGTGCCCACCAAGTGGCGGTGCACGCGATGGTATCTAGACGCTCATAGATTGGGACCGTACAGTTCCCGCACTTGGCCGTGGGGCTCTGTCGATTCGCGATCACGCCTTTCTGCCTTCGCTCCTACACCCATCTTTCCCCTCGCTTCCAAGTTGTTGTCCACATCGTATCTGTTATGTCCGGCATGTCAGACTCTTCGTACGCGTACGCGCCACCCGTTCTACAGCGATGCCTTGAATGTCTCTTGCAGATTGCCCGTCGTCGGCCCACGAAGAGCCGCTCGACCTCATCCGCTCGGTAAAGACTTGCGCCTGCGCATTCATCGTGAGCTTCGCCATTCACTGTCACATAGCTATTGTTGATGCATCGTCAGTCGACGGGTGCAGAGGTCTGCCTCAACCGGAGACTTCAACTGAAGGTTCTGCGCCTCGATACTTCTATGTCATGGTTTGGTCTACCTCGAGCCAGGATAGTGGGGACTTTGCGACCTCTTCGAGTGTTTATGAGGGCACAGGCTACCTCCAAGGCACGATACGATGGGATGAGATTCTGGACATGTACGCCTGGCAACTCCGTGAACGTGCCTCATTGCGATATCTGCTTATATTCGCCTAGTACCTGTTTCGAGCGCAGTCTTGTTCGTATCACGTTGTATGATGACGAATCCAACAAAATCTGCGAGAGTGGCTTCCCTGCTGGAGATCTATTGCAGGTTTCTTCCGGTGCGTATATACAGTGTGTATCCGGATTCCGGTCCGGGAGATCATTCTCGCCTAGTATCACTTCTGCCGACGTCTTGGACCAAATTTCACTGCGGCACCACCCAAGGATGCACTCTCTCCATATCTGCATCTACAGTCCCTGTTGATAGCGAAGAACAGAACCGTAAACTCGACAACGCAAGCAGTATGGTGTTTGAGCGTGATGATGCTTCCTCGGGATTGCAACTGACGGCGAGGTCATGGGATGTTGCTTTTCATGGACTTGCCTCTTTTGGGGAAGCCGTATTGCGAGCAAATGTGCGTACAACTAGTCGTTCATGAGTGCTATCCTCAAACCAGCATTTGATGTATAGATCGCGCGCACTGGCGGCAATGTATATTTGGCACAGCATTGGACCTACAGAGTGTACCAGGTCTTTCGACCACCACATGAACTGTCGCTCACAATACTAAGCCGTGATCCCTCCAGACATGCAGTACACGACAATCTCATGATCCGCGAATCGACAGCCTACTCGACTCCTTGATGACGGCTGTGAGTCAATGTGCACAGGTGCAAGCCACGCGTGTGCTGCAGAGGAAAGATTGTGTTGAGGAAATATTTGGAGAATTATGTCGGCTAGCGTCTGACATGGATGATATTGCTGGAGATCCTGCCTGTACGTGATCTCACACATTGTGCCAGACATCTCTGGCTGACACTATTTGGATGGCAGCCGATCCTGCCACATTCTGTCAGGATGAGCTGGCAAGACTCGTCATAATCCTTGTCACGCCGGACCCACCCACCGGAGTCAGCAGCACCTCCCCCAGCGCAGATTGGGCCGCAATCTATGGGACAGTCGCCAAGGACGCGCTCCTCTTTACCTTGGAGGGCATCGTACAGTCGTCCGACGCCTTTCCGCCTCTGAAGAGTGCAGCCAGCGGACTCCTATTCTTCGCGACGTCAGCGGACGTGAGTTGCTTCGCGATATGTACAAAAGTATGAAGCCGGATACTCACATTCGCGGAAGATGGCGTCCAGTAACAAGAAGCACATCCGCGACATCCACAAGCGCGTCAACGGCCTGACCGCCTCGCTCAAACGCGGGGCTGCGGAAGGCAGCATGCTCGCGCCAGCGCATCAAGACGCCATCAGCGCTCTCGCCGCGTATGTATCCAGAACTTCACACGACTACAGAACCATACTAAATGTGGTATAGCGACATCTCTGCGCTGAAAGAAGACCTTGAGAGCATCGTCAACGAGCGCAAGAACCGCTTCAGGCGCTACTTCAGCGCGAAACGCCATCGCGAAGAGCTGCAGGATATCGTATGGCAGCTGGACAATGCGCGTTCGAACTACACTGTACGTCCTGACACAGCCTAGGCATGTACGGTGTTCAGCCGGGCTGATCAGTCTTGGTAGACGGCGGTGGCCACGCTGAACGCGACGACGAACGCGCAGGTTTTGGCTCATGTACGGGCATTGACGGTCGTCATGGGCGTGAACCCGATGCATTTGCCTGGGACGCGGCCTGTGGACGCTGTCTCGTTCCCGTTCGGGACTTCTCGCTTCCAAGAGGTGTGATCCTCAGAGAGTGAAGCGCGGTCGATTAGGAAAGGATATCAAGATGAGCGTCTACGAGGCGATTTGTACAGGGTGAACATTCGAGCGTGGACCATCGGAAGCGGGTATTAGACGTGTATGTGTAGCTTAATCCGAAGGACTCGTGTGGATCTGTGTAGATGAGGGTATGCATAGCAGCTTGCACTGAGGGGCGACTATGGCGGTCCGAGTACAAGGATGCAAAGTGCGTCTCTTACCGCGCGCGTCAACTTCGCTTCTCACCGCCACCACCACCACCACCACCACTGGGCCTCAAACCGCTCGTCATGCTCGTAGCTCAACTGCGACCCAACGACAACGCAACGCGGCTGCGCTCAAGATGAAACCGGTGGCGTTCCTTGAAGAGCACGGTCAGAGCGCGCACGCGTAGCGTCTGTAGCACCCTCGCAGACGGTGTTCCAACGATCAACGCTTTCCACGCGAATCAGGCCGCGCTGTCCTCCTCGAATGGCGCGAGCTCATTTGCGATACCTCGGTTCATCACAAGGTGGTGTGAGCAGAACGTCAATGAGGAGGGTGGAGCAATGAGACGGATTGTGACTCGAGGTGTCTTCAAGAAGTACGTCCATATCTGCTCCCCCCCACCTGTTCTGCTTGTTCTGACATTGAATGCGCAGGGATATGCAATATTCTCAAGAAGAACACTCCTCCGTTCGTGGTAGCTCGGGTTTGGCTCGGCTGTTCAAACCTCCGCGCCGAATATGACGAGCTGCTGGTGTCGACGGGAATGTGGCCCATCCTTGTCTCCTGTCGCCATCCCCTCCATCGTAAACACTTCTGACTGCTATGGCCCTGTTCCCTTTATCATTGCCTCCATGTCATAGCTTACATTACCTGCTATTCGACGGTCGTCGCGCGCGCATGTGCGAAGTTATCTCGCGGGATCGCCTGAACTCTTCGTATAGACTTCCTTACCGGGTTCAAACGTTCAATACGCGAAGCACCCGAGAACATGGACATAGATCATAGACTCGTGACCAGTCTCCTTTGAGCGCGGTGACGGAGGCAAGCTCTAGTACCGCGCAAGGCATAGATCAGCCAACTCGCCGGCTGATGCGCTGATGCAGTAACGTTGAACGCGACGATGCTCGCGAACGTAGACGCTCATGTATGGATTTGTACGCTTCTAGTTGGTTTCACCCTAGTGTATATGCCCGGGCGCGATGCGTGGACACTTACTTTCAACACCGATTACATCATGGGAGTATTGAATCGTACGTGGACCCGAGACTACCCTGGCCCAGTGATAATATATTGGTCGTGATGCATGATGAAGGGAACGGCCGATGCAATGATGTATTTCTTGAACTACAGGCGTACTCAAACGCACGACCACCCAGCCCCTCCGCAACTTGAGCACCTCCATCACTCCGTCGCACGTCGATCCACAAACAATGCGCATCCACCCGGAACACCAAGAGACACCAAGTACGCCGACGATTCCACCTACGCGGTCTGATAGTACCCCGAGCAGAAGGACAAATATGCCTACGCGTGTGCATGGCGCGGCAATGATGCTATTGCCAACATGATTGGCTGGACAAAGAGATTAAAGGGCGGTGCTACTAGTATCCCCAGGCAGCAGTGGGTCGACTGGTTGTGCGGCGGTAGAGGGATACGTGCGCGCCTGTGCGCTTCCGAACCTTCGCCACGTGGGCGAAATGTGGCTTGGCAGCGGAGCGTGTCAACCCGGTTGCCTCTCGCTATCACGTCCTCTGTAAGGAGGGCTTGACGCTCCATGTAGCGACGGCTCTTACAGACACCATGTTATGCTCTAGTACTGGTGATATAAGACTGTCTTGTTCTCAGTTTGAAACGATCTAGGCATGGCAGTATGTGTCAGAGCACGGGTGGGCTGCTCCGCGTCCTCTGCGCCGTCACTGTGCCACCAACAAATCGACGGGCATTAATGATAAGAAACCCACCAGTTGTAGTGACGAGGGGCTTCTTTGCTGATAAGCTTAGGACACCTCTCCCCGTCTTCTACGCTCATGACTGCAGTCATCATTCCTTTTGCAGTAGGATCCAGGATCGTCCACTCCTAACTCGTCTCTTATCTATTCGGGCAACGCGCGCTGCGGGCACAGTCTTCTTACTCAAGGATTTGGTCACCCTTCGCGACCCTTTGACAGCCTTTATCTTGTACTCAGTGGGTATTATCGACCATCAACTACGACTCGCAATTCAAGGGGCATCTTTGCGCCCGTGGTCTTCAAACTGAAAACCACAAAGCATGCATTGGGTGCTAGCCTTCGTATACAAAGAAGTAAGGGCGATGCTTCTGATAGGCGCGTCAACTTCCGCCGTGGAGCTATGTAATATGACCGAGAGAGTTTCTGCATAGGTTCTATAGGCGCAGCAGCTGTAAGTATCGATGTTCACTTTGTTGGGAGTATTTCACCTTGTGGTCCCCTCTCCGCATTTGTGCACGTCTCTCGCGCCTCGTTACTTTCGATCTACACAAAGCTCCAATGCCTGCGATGCTCGAGCCTGACGCCTCACCGTACGTTACTCATGTTCACTGTGCGGCAGCCACTTCAGTTGACTCACGTTCGCCAGGGATTCCATCTTCGGTCCTCACCTCGCAGGCGAGGAAGTACCCGGGGCCCCGGGCGAGGATGTACAACTGCGCATTCATCGTGCGTGTATTATTTACGTGTTGCTACCCTACTCACGACACCCTGTAGTCGGAGGATGTAATGGTCTCCCTCGAAGGATGGCCCCTTTGCCCGGCGACTGTGGCATTGCTAGCCGTCGCTCATTCCGTGTCGGCTTTTGTTCGATCTCGAAATATCTCGGCGATACATATATTGATTCATCAGCTACACAGGAAGGCGAGAAATGGTTACGGTGTACCGTCCAGTGGGACGAGGTTCTCGTTATGTGAGTTCGGCCATCATGAGTCTTCGGTAGTACTATACCATCGCGCCCTAGTACCCAGAACTCAAGCTTCTCAGCGATTGTTCTGCAGTTGGATTTGTTCTCGTCAAGCTTTGGACGGAAGATCCAGGCTACTTTGAAGAATATAGCGCTTGCTTCTCCGTTGCCGACTTTCTGACGAGATCTGAGGGTGCGTGTCCACCACGTCGCGATGTCACGGCCAAGGACATCGACACTTCGTGACAGTCGTCCTCTTGCCCCCTAACTCTCAGCAAGACGAACTCAGTCCTTCGCTATTCCTGTCCGTCTCCCGAACTGATACCAACTCGGAAGATGGACAAAGTGATTGACATGATTGATCCATCCTATATGGGGGTACTGATATGCCAATAGAGTGTGCTATAGACCCCTTACTATCTGTTCTTCAACGATTGTCGTCTCTTCTGAAGATCTTCGGGGATCGGAAGGTACATAGAACATGCTTGAGCGTCTTCAGAACCCTAAGACGTGAACTTGACCTTAATCTAGATCAGAACTTACACCGGGTATTGGGTGCACTGGCACACATTCAAGGCGTATCAGGTATGCACGACTCGTAATAGGCCACTTTGAAACATATTGACATCGCTCGCAGCACCTGATTGGCCACCAGCCGCCGCAGACATGTAGCGTGCAAGTCAACATGCTCATTGCGACTATGATGGCGACCGTAAATGCCATTCTACACGAGCCGCATTCGTGCCACGTTCATCAAAGGGGGGAGTGCGTCTCGGCGTTCTTATCTGAATTAGGGCTGGCATCAATGACAATCCATGGGCTCGTCACCGGAAAGAGTACCGAAGAGCGCGGTATGTGGATCTCAACCCTGGATGGTCGTGTTCTTTCTCACGAGAGGTCTCTGTATGGGACATCATTTCGGAAGGATCTCAAGATCGTGCGACGGAGCTAGCTCGGCTTTGCTGTATCATCGTTACCCCAGAGCCTACAGTCGGAGCCGACAGTACGTCTGCAAACATCAACCAACGAGACGTGGCTAGAATCGTAGCCAAGGATGCCCTCCTTCTCGTCTTGGACGGCATATCACAATCCTCTGATGCCTTCCCACCGCTCAAGAGCGCAGCCAGCGGCCTCCTCTTCTTCGCGGCATGTGCAGATGTGAGTACATACACGTGCTGGTGAATGTACAAGAAGCTGAGTCCGGAGAAGTTGGCGTCTAGCAATAAGAAACAGATCCGCGACATATACAAGCAAATCGAAACCCTGGCCATATCCCTCAAACGAGGTGTCCGAGACGGGACTCCAATCTCTTCAGAGCAGCAAGATGCGATTGCCGCCCTTGCGCAGTACGCTCTTCAAAAGATCATGCTTCGACACTCATCGTGATCACGATGCCGCCCAGAGACATCGCCATGCTGAACGAAGACGTGCGAGATATCGTCAACGAGCGGAAAAGTCGCTTCAAGCGATTCTTCGGAGCGAAGCGTCACCGAGAAGAGCTTCAAGACGTCGTGGCGCGTCTAGAGATGGCGAGATCAACATACACGGTAAGCGCCGAAACCCGGAAGCTTGTAAACCGCACGCTACTTATATCTCAGCGACGCAGACAACTTTGGCAACTTTGAATGCGACGACTAACGCGCAGGTCCTTGCTCATGTGAGGGCATTGACACTCGTCATGAACGTCAGTCCAGTTTACGCTGCTGGCAGCCGTTGTGCGGATACGAGCGCGTTCCCCGCCGTGTTGCCTCGTTTCGAGCAGCCCCGAGCGGAAAGCGCATGATCGATTGAGCGATAAATCCGGTACGTTTCAGGGAAGAAGACATCGGGGAAGCTTTGGTATTGGCTAGGGTAGAAGCTTGGGCGTGAGCGGTGAATGTCATCTTGATAGCGCTGTTGGGCCTGTATGCAGAGCGGGGGAAACTGGCAGTGAGATTATTATAAGCATATACACGAGTGCAATGTACTGAGATTATGCCCAAACGACTCCCAAAAGCCTCACCGACAACTGCTCCAACTCTGCCCAGACCCTCCTATATCTCGACTTGTGTGCCTTTATCACCCCATCGCAACCCGACCCACTTTCAAGGCTAACGCATTCACCCGGAACACCAGGTACACCGACGCGTCCGCCTACACCATCTGATACGCCGCGTAGGGGATCGAACACGCCTGCGTGTGGCACGGGGACGATGTCGTCGACGACATGTCTGCAGACTCAGGTGAGAAGAGGTAAAACAAGGGAAGAGAAGGAAGAGCGTACCAGTGTATACGGGCCAGCATCGATACGCGCTTTCACAACCCAACGCGCACTTTTCCCGCCCACATGTCATTGCCTATCAATATTGTACGCAATCATAAGACTCTTGGACCGTCTATGAGCTCTTTCGCGCTCCTTAACTTGATGGTGGCCGGTTCAATGCGAGTAGAGGAGGGTAGGGACGAAGGGCGCGGAGCTGGGAGGACGTGTGAGCGCTTGATTACTTGAGCGTCGTATTGCACGCCAACGAGCGCCCATACCAAGAGATCACTCACCACTCTTGCATGCCTGACAATTTGAGCAACTCCGCTTGAGTCTCTCCCGCGCAGTCGTCGTTTGATTCCATCGCGTCGGGTAAGACCAGAGCAACATGGGTCCCGACGACAGTTAGGTCGATCGGAGGTTCATGAGGCGACTTTCGTCTAAAGGGTTAAATCTTGAAGACATCGTTGTGGTATTGGCCAAGCGGCGGGTAGTCGACGCGGCTAGGTAGACCTGGTAGCGAAGTGGGGTGGTCGCAGAAGGAAACTCACGACGTGCGCGTCTGAGAAGTTCAAGTTGCCGCGTGTGGACGTCAGCGGCTCGACGTGCTTGTCTTCTATCGCCATGACCTTCCCTGACCTTGCGTACCAGAAGCTGAGGAACGTATTCCAGGCACAATCATATGAAACCCATTTTTCATTTGCGATGCTGTTCGCAGGCTATGCTATATGAGGTCATTCCAGCATCGGGATTCGGCTTCCTACCTCCGCTGACGCTCTCCTCTCTCTATGTGGCGTTCGCTTCATTGCCTTTCTCTCGCGCGCCCATGTATCTCTTTAATCAATCAGAGACCATACAACTTCTCTATGCCGTGCGACGGACGCGTCTTCATAGAAGACACGACGAAAGCTCGTTCGGAAGAAGGCGGTGTTTCAAGGTTCTGAGCAGCAGAGCAAGTACCTAAGCATCCCTCGCTCACTGAACACCCAAGTCTGGAGGCTCTCCATAGCTTTTGCTCCGACAACAACACGGCGAGAGCCCAGGTGGTATCGCGAACACCTCGAAGTGTTTGGCGCGTTATGGTGAGGAGCCACTTCCTGTGCACGAGGTTCGGACGACTGAGCCCGCGCGCCCCTGGGTTGCTCCTCGATACCACGACCATCGGATCCTCATCACTGACTAGAGTGCCTCGCATTTGATGTATTTCTGCTTCCTCCCAGACTTTGCTACCGAAATTAATCTGTCCAATCACTACGTGCGCATATATTGACATGGAAGATGTCAGCGAGACCAGACATGAAATCGATATGTATTTCTTCAGCCCCTTCCAGATAACAGAAATGAAAACGCCAGTGACGGGAACGGTACTATGCCACGCGGTGGAAGTGGCTATCATAATATAAGCCACTGCGTATCTTTCGCGTATCTGACGCTCACCCACCAACAGTCCCAGCACATTGCTCACCATACAAGCCAATATCTGAGTCGTCCTGATACTCGATACCATGTCCGAGACAGCGCGAACGGTGTACGTGCGCACGCTACTGGAAGACCGTCTCGTCTGCTTACGATCACACAGGGCCCCAACGACTACGCTAGCGCACCCACTAGGCGAGGTCATCCATATCCGCATCAATCGTCAGTATCACCATAGTCTTGTCGGGACAACTAACGAGCACTCGTAGTCCAAGGATGCAAGGGTCCATTCCCGATGGGATGCTCGTCCCAAGATCCTTGCAACTCCTATCGTATACGCTTTGACTGGCTCTCGATCTTCCGAGGCGATCGCATCTATTCGTCGCCTCAACGCGAAGGCGAGAAGACCTTTCAGGGAACTGTGTACTGGAACGATACGCTCTATATGTACGTGAGCTGATCGTCAAGCTCTCCTCTGACCGTGCTCATACTGCTTACAGCGAAGACTGTTATGAGCATAGCTACATAGCTATCCACCTCATCCACGACGATAAGATTGTGGGATGGTACGATCTCGGCGGGGAACTCAATCCCGGCGCGTGTATGACCACCACCGAGCTTCTCAAGGCGGATGCAAGTGCACGGTCCCACTGCTCTTTGTGTCGACTGATACTTACGGCGCAGACAGAAAGTGTCGCTATGGCCGTACCAGGACAAGCTACAATCAGGTGTTTCATACACGCTGTATCTCACTGCTACCAGAGTTGCTGTGGACGACGCAGTGACATTATATCACTCTCCGAGACGCGCCCTCAATGCAAGCAATGCGAGTCCCGCGTTGGCTGCAGGTCCGTGGACCGACATCCTTCGTCGATTGACGGCCTTCGTTGACACCGTGGGGAAGTTGAAGGTGAAGACTATCAATCTATATGAGTTCGGGGCTCACTCTGTTCATAGGTCAAGACCGTAAGCGGGCTTTGGGCGCAGATGGACGCGTATACGATGTTCAAGGTCTCTTTCATTGTCTTATCTGTCAACAACTACGTTCTGACCGTGTGCCACGCCAGACGATTGCTTCACTAGACAGGCGCAATCTTGATCCTAACATTGACAACGCCGTCACGACTATGGTCAGAGCTATGAGTGCCATTGAACACGGGGTGGGCGCACGCGGGGAGTACTGTGATAGGGGAGTTCTCGTGGAAACCGTGGTTCAGGTGCATTGGGTGCTTGTCAATGCCATGGATGTCGCGTTGCAAGAGAGAACCTGTGAGTGCAAAGAGGACACCATGATTCGTTCGCACTTGAAGTTCTCACATTGTCCTCAGATGATCCTCGACACGGGCAGGAGCTGTCAAGACTCACGATCCTCATCGCGACTCCCGGACCAGGCATTGGAGCCAGAAGTACTTCGGCAGATTCAATTCTTCGAGGGATCTCGGGTTATAAAGCGAGGGACGCGCTCCTCTTCGCGTTGGAGGCTATCGCGGAGGCATCTGATGCGTTTCCCCCGTTGAAGAGTGCAGCCAACGGATTGCGCTTCCTGACCACGTACGCAGATGTGAGTGCCCGCTTCCCACTTGAGCGTCGAGAGCATGACTCACGGAATGTGAAGATGGCTTCTAGCAATGAGAAGCGTGTTCGCGACATCTATCAGCGCGTGGACGGGTTAGCAGCTGCTCTTAGACGGGGCTCGACCAGAGACGGCCCGGTAATTCACGAACATAGCGATGCTATTGAGGACCTGTCACGGTACGTAGGACTAGAGTTCTGACAATGAGCAGGTCTCAAGTGAAGCAGAGACATCGCGGCGCTCAATAAGGACCTCGAATCCATTGTGCGCGAGAGAAAGAATCGCTTCAAGCGGTACTTCAGCGCGAAGCGGCATCGCGAAGAGCTGCAGAACGTGATGATGCAGCTCGAGACAGCAAGAGCCAACTATACAGTGAGTGCGCTCTTGTCGGAGCATGCGTCAGTCTGACGGCTGCCTTGCGCAGATGGCAGTGGCAACGGTAACCGCGATGACGACCGCACGCGTTCTTGCGCACGTCCAGACTTTGACGCTCGTTATGGGAGTAAGCCCGTTGCCGAACCTCGATATGACCCGCACAGACGCTGTGACTTTCCCTTCAGGGAGGAGTCGGATAGAAGAGGTCCGAGCGGGAGATGCAAGCATGGCGGATGTGACATGATGCCTGGGAACGATTCCTTAAGTTTAACAGCGACGGTGAGTTTGTGCCTGTTGGGGAAAGAAACTCGTAGTAGAATGATGATCATATATACAACTACAACGGACTCAAATCACACGAGAAAACCACTTGAATGACTTCCAGCGACTCCCGTCCGAGCAACTACCCTTGCCACCAAGCCCACCAAGCGACTCCCGCCGATCCAGCATCCGCGCCTTCGTCACTCCATCGCCCACGGGCCCAGCGAGGCATCAAAGTTGACATATCCAGCCGGTACAGTGTGGCGCTCATCAGACCGCAAACGCCGTCCAATACGCTACGCAGGAGATCGAGTAAATTCTGATTTGGAGCGGGCACGAAGGCATTGATGACATTCTGTGAGATAGAAACTGGTTGAGCAAATAGAGAAGAGTGACAAAGCAGAAGAGCGCACCGATGAATCTGCGCACGCAGCATTGGGTAAATATAGTACTGCTCCTTACCTCCCGATGCGCGCTCCTAGAGCCGGTCGTCGTCGCCTGTTAGCGTGAGATGACATTATCAAGTTCTTGTGTTGTTCGCATGCCGTTCGACGTATCGAGGCTTGATTGTGCGAAGGCCAAGTGGCCCACAGGGGAGGGGGGCGGGCGTGGATAATACGCGAGGGGGGTCGCGGAGTGTCGGCGGACTAGAAAGCGCACGAGCGCCGACATGCCAGGGCGCCAGTCGACTTAGGCTTCTGAATGCTGACCGATCGAATCATGCACGACACCGCTAGAGTGCCGTGCAGGCGCGCGTGCCGGCGCCATGATAGTTCGTTCCAAACAATCGCCCTGCCCAGGTGGGCGCGTGATGCCTCGCTCGCACGCGCTTCTCTGTCAAACACCACGATCATGGACATTTGAACGTTCGATGCGGTACTATGCAGTACCGTGTGCTCTTTCTCTTACATAAAGTTATCGGATCACAACACTACGATATGCAATGCTCGCATACTCGGAATCGTGCTGCCAATGACCCTGCAGTATGAGCGAGTCACAACAGCCCCATTGCCTCCGATAGACGCATAACTGGGATAGACCAAGAAATTTGGGCTTCTCCCGCTATCAGACGGCCTCGGTGTTTCCGCCCGTTTCCTTGCACCCGATATACGCAATGACACTGACAATCTACGTGCATTCAACCCATAAGGGTCACGAGAGCTAAACTCTGGCAGGAGCGATAGGAAGTTCGGGATTCGATCGCGATCGATGTGGGTAGCCAAAGCCCACGAGCGCAGACGGCTGAACCTACTTATATCTGGACACTGGGTTGGTCTCTTGAAGCCACACCGGCCCTGAGTGTCCTGAGCACTAAGTACTGTTGCCACCCTCCGGAGTTTTCCGCATCGATATCATGGCAGGAGGAGCAGCGCAATACTCGTGCGTGCTTCCTCCTTCACGAGATGATCGCATTATCCGAGCGTAACTTCACAGGCAGCAGCAAATAATCAAACCGGTACACCCACTCGGGAGACCCCTGCGAGTTTGCATCAAAAGTGCGATTATTCTCGATCAAAATCACCGCCCACACCTCTGCTGATCGCTCATAGTCGAAGGATGTAAAGGCCCCTTTCCAATCGGTTGCACATCTCAAAATCCTGGCAACTCCTATCGTGTTCATTTCTGTTGCATCACAATCAACTATGCATGGCATCACATCTACTCTGCACCAGCCCCCGAAGGAGACGAAGACCTTCTAGGAAGTGTGCGGTGGGACGACATACTATACCTGTATGTCCTCCTATTGAATGAGAATTGCATCCACGTACTCACTCCACATGTAGTGATGATTGTTTTGAACAGTCTCACATCGGCATCTATCTAGTTCACGACGATTCTTTCGGTCAATCTGGATACCCCAGTTTTACTGAAGCTAATCCCTGGGTTTGTATGTCTATGGACAAATTCCTTTCAACGACGGCAAGCACACATTTTCATGCTCCACTACAATTGTTGTTCACTGTCTTTCAGGAGGTAGTGTTATGGCCCCACAGCGACAAGCTGCAGACAGGTGCCCATCACTACCTACTGCGTTTCTCTGCGTTCAGAGTCCATGATAAGGAGCACAGTGGCGACAGGACATATATTCAACGGTTGATCCCAGACTGCATTTCCGAAAGTGACGAACTCCCGCTTGGACCGAAGTTGTCTGCAGGCTCATGGGACACCATTGTCTCTCGGTCGACGAAATTCGTACAGAAATTGCAGGGATTACAGGTATCTAACACGACTGTTGTACGTGGGCTCGAGCTCTGATTGAGATCTTCGTCTCCAGATTCAATCTGTACATGGTCTCTGGATGCAAGCGGATTGCTGGTCACTATGCCAGGTATGCGTAACATTCATTTGCGATTTTAGACAGCTATACTAAGACGTTATATTCTAGTCGTTTTTCGAAACACGCGGAGGCGTCAATGAAAATGTCGACAGGATGCTTCTCATTCTGATGCGGGCTATGTATGCCATCGATCAAATACCGGAAGTATACCTCGAACAGAGAAGAGGGGACCTTTCGGATATTCTAGACGAAATGCATGCTTCAATGCAGAATATAGTCCGTGTCGCTAGATATAACATTCGATGTGAGCAATGCTGAGGCGTTGACAATACAGGGTTTCACCATCACCTAATATCTGTTTGTAGATCAACCTCAACGCGAGCAGGCAGTCTCAAGACTCACAATCATTATCGCAACCCCCGGACCAACCTCAGGACCGAGCAGCACTTCTGCGACCGCTAATGAAGCTATCATCACCAAAACGATGGCCAAAGACATACTTCTGCTGGCATTGGAGGCTCTTGCGTCATCAGCGGACGCCTTTCCGCCATTGAAGAGCGCGGTTGGCGGACTTCTATTTCTGATAGAACACGCGGACGTGAGTTCCTGCTTTGAGCTTACACTCGAGCGTTCTACTATACCTGACTGTTTCACCAGCAAGCAGCAGGCAACAGAAAGCAGATAAGGGAGATCTATGGACGCGTGAATGCACTGATCACTGCGCTCAAACCCGTATCGGTCAAAGGCAGTCCGATCGTCTCCGAGCACTTGGACGCTTTTGACGTTCTGTCCCGGTACGCACCACCGTGATTCTGAGCTTTATGAGTATCGCGAAATTCAGATCACTGCGAACAGAGCCATCGTGCTGCTTCAAGAAGACCTCGGATCGATCGTGAGAGAGCGGAAGAACCGCTTTAAGCGATACTTCAGCGCACGGCGGCATCGCTCAGAACTACAGGACGTCATCGTGCAGCTTGAGACGGCAAGCACTCGTTATACGGTGACAGCGCCTGTTCCCTGAAGCTTAACCTTCCAAGTCGGTCTGACGCCTATCCTCGGCAGACAGCGGTGACGACGATAACGGCGATGACGACCGCACGCATCCTGGTACATGTCGAGACTTTGACTCGGGACAAAGGAATCAGCCCGCTGCCGAAACTCGAGATGACGCGCACGGACGCGATTATGTTTCCACCGGAGATGAGTCGGATCGAGGAGGTTTGAACGGCAGACAGCGCGGATGAGCGACGACGACACGGCAGATATGGCAATGGATAACGAGTTGATGTCTTGAGAACGCGATGGCTGTGACGTGTACGGTTATTGGCCTTGTTGTGACGGAATGTAGAGTACGAGTGCGTTCGGTAGTTTGTGGCTTTCATGGTCCTGATTTTCGATGGCGGCGGCTGCCGGCGGCTCAGCCACGATCCATATCGAGCCCGGTGCGGGGAGGACAGGCTTTCCCGATCCTGCCCGTCGCGTTTCCGATCATGGCGGCAATAAAGAATGATCATTGGGTGGAGATGCTGGTAGTAGCGAGACTGAGCAAATACGGTGAAGGGAATGGACCAAGAAGAATCTGAGGACATAACGTCGAAACTGCACCCATACAGTTTCATCGACAGCTGCCCATTCCTCCAACCCCGCCTAACCCCTCCCACCTCCCCGACTTGCGCGCCTTCATAACCCCATCGCACCCCGACCCGCCCTCGATGCTAACGCATCCACCCGGAACACCGGGTACACCAACGCGCCCGCCCACGCCGTCCAGTACGCCTCGTAGCAGGTCGAATACGCCGGCGTGTGGCGCGGGGACGATGCTATCGACGACATGTCTGCGATTATCGGATCAGTTGGAGTTGGTGTAAAGGGGGAGGAGGGTGCATACCGGTGTATCCGCGCGTGTATCGGGTGGAAATGGTACGTGCTCCTCACCTCCCAATGCGCGCTCTTCCCGCCCACGCGTCCGCGCCCGTCAATGTCGAACGCGATCATCAGGCTCTTCTGCCTTTCATATGCTCGTTCGTGCCTTTGAACTTGATCGGTGCTGTGTCGGTGCGAAGGCGGGAGAGAAGGGATGGACGGGCCGGAGCTGGAGCCGGGGGGACGCGTGGAGGATACGCGGACGGATGTGACGGTTAGGGTTAGGGGGGTGTAGAGGGCGTGGAGGGAGTGGCGGAGGAGCATTGAGGAGGCGAGGTAGAGGGGGAGACCTGCATGAGGAGGTCAGCACTGCTGTACAATTGGCACGAAACCCGGAGCGTCAGGATGCGTGCGAGCGCACGCCTAGACGCCGGCCAGACGGTCTCGCGCGCCGTGGATGACGTCACGCCGAGCGGACGCGTCGACGCGTTGCTCGTCGCGTTGCACGCTGAGGAGCGCTTCGGCACAGAAAGTGATCACTCGCCATCGACATGCAGTGTCCGGGGTAGTGGAGCCGGCAGCTCGGCAGGCGGCGTATAGCTTAGTCGAATACGCGAGTCGTAGATCTGCTCTCCGTCCCCGTCGTCGCTTGGCGCGGCGTCGCGTGAGGCGGTGAAGCCAGTAAGGCTAGTCAGGTGTGATAGTGAAGAGTCGGTGCGCGTGTGCAGTCCTGATTCGAGGAATTGGGGGAAGGTGCGGGTGAGAGTGTCAATGGCGGCTCCGGCGCGAGCGTCCCATTCGGCGTCGCTTAAGCTGTCTTCGTCGTTGTGTTCGGGTTCGAGCTCGGGCTCGTCATGCTGGTCATCTTCATGAGGTCTAGGAGCGGCGGCAAGCGCAGTACGGGCGTTCCGCCTCAAAGTAGCGATAAATAGTGGCCGAAGATGCAGATGGTGGTGGTGGCGGTAAAAAGACAACATGACTTCGCCCTCCTAAACCTCCTGCAAATATCCCTGCACAACCAGATGCTCGACATCCGCCCTCCTTACCATAAACCTTTGCCCCTTTTTGAAGTCGATCGTCCCCGCCTCGGTCTGGATCTCCCCGCAATCGCGCAGCACGCGCACGAGGACGTGCAGGTCCTTCGGCGGCGCGGAGATGCCGGCGGCGACGTCGAGCTCGGCGCTGTACTCGCTGCGGAGGGCGACGACCGAGGCGTTGTATTCGCGCAGCCAGTCGACTTCGCTGGGCGCGAGGCGCGCGCGGAGCGAGGTGTCGCTCAGGATGTGCGGGAGCGCGGCGCCGGCGGCCCAGTACGCGTCTTTGAGGCGCTCGATCCGGAAGGTGTGGTACGCCAGTAGACACCGCTTGTTGCGTGCGATAGCCGTCTGGTATAGTAACGCGTGCGGCGCGCTGCCGTCGAAGTTTGGGCCGGACGCTTCGAGCGCGGCGGTGAGGAGCCCGTCGAGCTGCCGCTGCTCGCGGATGACGGCGCGCACGAGCCCGTCGTTGTATTTCCCGAGGTTGTCGCCTTGCCGTTTGACTTCGGTCACGAGCTGGGTGGCAAGATCGCCGAATTGCCTGCGCTCGCTTGAGGCGCTCATGGTTGTGGATGGTAGATGTACAGGGCCGAATCGGGCAATCAAAGGGTGGGTTGTTCGAAGTTCGAAACGCGGTCACGTTGGTTTTCCGAAGATCTTGTTCGACTGTCGGTTATCGCAATAACATGATACCCACATATATGAGATTATGTAGAGCGGTCTATCACTTCTCAAGCTTAGACAACTCATACTGTACGGCTGCCTGTGAGATATAGAGTATTATCTATAGACTAGACTAGGGTGGCCACTTCGACTATGTCTGATCATTGACAACTCGGTTGCTTCTTTTTCTCTGCATACCATCTCAACTCCCGAGGCTACAGTACATTAAATCATCGAGCACGTGGCTAAAACTCCTCTATACTACGGGGCATTCGATCGAGAACTCGCCTGTGCGGATAACGACGAGGCTGTTGTAAGCCAGTGCAAACCGCCGATATAGAAGCTTCGACTTCGGAGTAGACAAAGAACTTAACCAGGCTGATTGGAGAGAAAGAACTGGACTGTAGGTGTCTGATCGACACGAGCGAGGCGCAGTGGTGGTCGATCAGGAAGAAGAGCGCTAGCGCGACCGCGCGCATGACGCGCGTGTGCGGCCGTTGCCGCCATGCTGAACTCGCGCATCAGCCTCCGCTCCGAACTCGCCACTCGCCACGATGGACGTACTCCGACGTCTGCTCTTCGGCGACGGCGACGATGGAGACGACGGCGGAGGAGGCGCGCCGCCCGGGTCGCCGCCAACCAGTGCGTATCTACCCACCTACACTGTCTAGTCCATTGGAATACTGACAATACTTGTGCGTGATGCAGTGAAGTTCGAAGGCCCGTGGTTCGCGACGCAGATCACTATCTCCAGTGCGCTGGGGCTAAGCTCGTTCTTGATATTCTGCTACTGCAGAACGCGCTGGCCTTTGCTGTTCGCGCCGCGTACGAAGCTCAAGGGTGCGTCCTTTCTTTCTATCGCGTGCGGGAAACGAGCTAATGGTCGGAGGGCAGGCTTCTCGCCACACGAGGCGCACGCGCATACGGCGTATCTGGGGTGGCTGTGGCCGACGCTCAAGACGAGCGAGTATACTGTGCTGCAGATTGTTGGGTTGGACGCTGCTGTGGTGCGTGTTTTGGCTTGTGTATACTGGAGGACTTAGACGCTGACTTCGATTGGTGCAGTTGCTGAGCTTCTTCAAGATGTCTTTCTACCTGTTCTCGACGTTATCGCTATTTGCTGTTGCTGTACTCATGCCTGTGAACGTCAAGGTACCTGCTCACACCACCACCACAAGTTCTTCAGCTAACGAGTATGTCTACGCTCAGAACAACATCGGTATTGGCGACGAGCCAGACGACGGATGGAACCGCACCGTCGGCTTCGCACCAAACACTACACCAAACACCACCGTCCCCTCACAACCCACCAACCCACCCTCAGGTGGCCGCGACTGGTACGAAATCATCGGCGACGCCAACTCCTACCTCTCCGTGCACCTCCTCTTCACCTACCTCTTCACCATCTTCGCCCTGCGCTTCATCTACTCCAACTACCGCCGCTTCGTCAAGACGCGCCAGCTCTTCTCGCTCGAGCTCGTGCACAGCATTCCCGCGCGCACGGTCATGGTGTCGCGCCTGCCGCCGCACCTGCGCGGCGAGCGCGCGCTGGCGGAGCATTTCGAGCGGATGGAGCTGCCCGTGGAGAGCGTCAGTGTTGTAAGGGAGGTCGGGATGCTGAAGAAGCTCATTGATCAGCGGACGAGGGCGCTGCTGGAGCTCGAGAAGGCGTGGACGGACTATGTGGGCAATCCGAGCACGGTCGAGAGCTATGATCCGAGCGATCATGCGCTGTTTGGGGACGCGGAGAGCGGGCCGCCGGCGAGGGTCGTTGTGCCGCATCGCAAGCGGCCGACTATGCGCCCCGGGTGGTTGAGCGGGAGTGTGGACGCGCTGGAGTATTTGGAGAAGCGGTATGTGGAGCTGGACGAGGCGGTTAGGCGGAAGAGGCGGTTGGGGAAGTTCCGCGCGACGGATATCGCGTTTGTGACGTTCGAGCATATGTCCTCCGCTCAGGTCGCGGCGCAGGTCGCGCATAGCGGGACACCCTTCGCGCTCGAAACGTCGCTCGCGCCGGAGCCGCGCGATGTAGTATGGGCGAACATGGAGCGGAGCACGCGCGCGGACTGGGTGCGCGAGGCCCTCGTGCTCGGCATGCTCGTCCTGCTGTTCTTCTTCTGGATCATCCCCATCACGGCCCTCGCTAGTTTGCTGAGTTACGACGAGATCAAGAAGGTCATGCCGTGGCTGGCGAATCTTATCGATAGTAACGATAAAGTGCGCGCTATCACGCAGAACTCGTTGCCGTCGGTTGCGATGATCAGTTTGAATGCGCTGTTGCCGTTCGCGCTGGAGGCGTTGACGTATTTGCAAGGGTATAGGGCGAGGAGCTGGATCGAGTATTCGCTTATGAAGAAGTAAGTTCTATCATATCGTTCTAGTTGGAGAGAGCAAGGCGCTGATTCGAACGCAGATACTTCATGTTCTTGCTCGTCAACGTCGTCTTCATCTTTCTGCTCGCCTCGACGTACTGGCAACTCGTACGCGACCTCGCCAACTCGCCCGCCCAAGTCCCCGAGAAGCTCGCCCAAGCCCTACAGAAAGGTCGCGCGCGCCACTTCTTCCTGTCCTACGTCATCCTGCAAGGGCTCGGCATCATGCCCTTGCAACTGCTCAATCTGGGCATCATCGTCCCGCGCATCGTCCGCCGCGCTTTCACGAGGACCCCGCGCGACTTTGCCGAGCTCAACGCGCCGCCGATGGTCAACTACGGCGTGGTCTACCCCCAAGCGATCCTCATCTTCGTGATAACGCTGCTATACAGCGTTATTCAACCCCTCATCTTACCCTTCGGCGCCCTATACTTCGCCGCGGCCTACGTCGTCTACAAATACCGCCTCCTCTTCGTCTTCTACAAGCCCTACGAGTCGCACGGCCAGGCGTGGCCCATAACCTTCTCCCGCCTCATCTGGGGCGTCGTCATATTCCACATCTTCATGATCGGCAACTTTTTGCTGGCCAAGGCGTTTGTCCTCAGTGCGCTGGTGGCGCCGCTGATTCTGGGCACGCTGGCGTGGGCGTGGTATATTGATCGCCAGTTCAGGCCGCTGAGCAAGTTTGTGAGTTTGAGCAGTGTGTTTGAGGTGCAGAGAGGGGTGGAGACGGAGGAGGTGTTGAGGTTGAGGGCGGGGCATCCGGTTACTTGGTCGCAGAGGTTCGTTCCGTCTTTATTGCCCTGCTTCGATCGGAGAGGTTGTTGACTTCGATATGCAGCAACTTGAACCGCTCAAGATACGCTCAGAACGATGATACATTGTACGTCGCGCCGGAGGATATGCGCACGGATTATAGTCAGCCGCCTATGGCGAACTGGTATAACGGCGTATTAAATACCGGTAAACGGCGTTTCGGACATCCTGCGTTGACTGGTACGCAGTCTTCCTTACATTACTCGTATCATCTATTGCTCACGCTTACTTACAGGTTCGTTGCCCACGCCTTGGCTTCCGCTCAAGAAGGGCGAGACGCTCGCGAACCGTAACGGCGGACCCCAGAGTAGCGAAGCTGTAGTCCTCACGCTGCGCAACCGTTACAGCATGGCCCGACGCGCCATCGGACGTAGTCGAGACGCCTTACAAACCTCCCTCCAACCATCTTCAATCCAACCTACGAGCCAATCAGCACCCCCGTCCCCCTCCGGCGACGGCGAGCACAACCGACTCGTTGACCGCCCAAGCACCGCACGAAGCAGAACGACGCCACATACACACGCGCATAATCTGAGCCATAGGCTGAGCTATGACTTTGCGAGCGGGGTGATTGTGTTGCCCGAGGATGCGGATGCGTGGTTGGGGCTTGAGGAGGAAGAGGAAGAGAGCGGGGACGAGGATTATGGGGATGTTATCGGGGTTGGCGGGGGCGCGATTGCGCCGGTTAGTCAGCCGTTGCTTGGGGAGGGCGAGGGGAGGAGTTATGGGGCGACTGCTAATGAGGGCGGTGGTGGTGGGGAGGGTAGTGGTGGGGCTGGACAGGGAGGGGCGCGGCCGAGGACGGTTAGTAGGAGTCGGTATGGGACGTACTTTCATCATCCGGAGAGGAGGCAGAGGCAGACTATACCCGGCGCGTTTCCTGGGCCTAGTCCGAGCTCGCAGTAGGATTGGACTTGGACGCAGAGGATGGAGAGGATGTTGCTATATTCGCTTTGACTTTGACGCTGTTTGATGTAGTGTATATGCTCATCTGTTTGTTTGTTTATGACCCGCCCATACCTCGTCTGTCAATCTATTGATCAGAAAGAACACAACTTCACTGTGTGAGCTCATGCACGCTATGGTCCTGGCGACAAGAGCCCAGAACGTCCGAGTACTAGTGGACCGGACACAGTACACGGCAACCTCCGGGCGCGCCCATGTGATCAATCGAAGACGCGTCGCGTCGAGCACCGAGCGTACGCGTCATCTATCTTGAACACTACCCACCATGGTGCGCACGCACCCCACCAACTCTCAATTACACGACTGACCCTCTGCTATAGAACTTCCTCGATCCTCTTGCAGACACAACAGCCCCGCGCTACGCGATCGAATCGGACGATGAAGACGAGCTGAACCCACAACTCCCATCTCAAGCCAAACGCGTAGTAGACATCGACGTCAAGTGTGATCCCGCGCCCGATACATCTCTACCTCTTGTCATTGCGACGGGTGATGCCGGGAAAGTGTGGGCTGCGGGAGCACCGCTGAAGGAGCAGGTTGGCGCGGTATTCGTGAATGGGGTTACTGTGGGCATGGTCTTTCGGGTGGAGGGACTGGCGAATGTTGTGATTAGTGAGGCGACGACGACGTTGCCAGTTTGGGCCATGAACGCATATGCGGCGCGGGTGCTGGAGCTGTTTACGCCATCGAGGTGAGTCATGGTATATTTTCTGTCTGAGATCTAGAGTTGAGACGGTGCCACAGGCTATCGTTGCTCGATTCGTATCCCGTTCCTATGTACATCGACAGCGAACCTCGACCGTTCTCAGAAGCACCCGTTCGCTACCTTCAAACGCACTCGCTGTTGACAACGGTGAGTACCTCCTCGCTCTTTATCTGAATCGTAGTCTAACGTCCGATGTAGTCCCCCGACCTCGAGCCCTTCTCCCCGCCAAACCTCGTACAATCAACATCCGCCGCGTTCCTCGCCCGTATAGCGTTTGCATCGCCATCGACACCCGCGTCGCTACTCCTCTTGCCTTCAGCGCACATGAGCTACCCGCGGCCGACCGATATCGCGCCGTCGACGTCCTCGGCGCATGAAACCGACGACGGATGGCCGTCGAGCATGCTGAAGGAGGTGCATGGACTGCTGGTACCGAAGGCGCCTGCTTGGGACGCGAGCAAGGGGCATGTACGGCAGAAGCCGGCTGCGAGGCGTGCGCTTGTAGATGTTGGTGAGGGTGGGATGTATATCTAGACGGAAGATCTTGTAACAAAAGTGTATGATATGGCATGCGGAATCGCAATATATCCTTGGCTCGCTCTTGTACAAGGCGACGTAGTGTAGCAGGTTAGTCGCTGTGTGCTACGTACATCAGCCTTGCAGGTACTACTATGCTCTAACTGTACCGATAGTGCGATGAGATAGATAAAAAGATAGGCTTCTGTATATTTGTGCACTCACTGATGCGGATGGAAATTCCACGTGTCCGCGCCGCCACAGCCACGCCCCAACTACCCGCATCCTAGCAGCCTCTTCGCCTCCTCCCCTCACGACCTCACGAGCGACAATCATGTCGCTCCTCGCCTATCCCTTCCACATTCTCAGCGCGATATTTCGCTTCATCTTCCAAACTCTTCGAATACCTATACCGAATGTCCCGCTTTCCTCGCTCAGCTTTGGCGGCCTGTTCGCCGCGTTACGTGCTCCGCCGCTTGAAGCGCATACTGAAGCCGAACGATGGGTACGAGCACTCGAAGAAGAGACTGGCGCACGATCTTCGTCGTCAGAGACTGGCATATCGACCGGCGCGGGCGAAGCTGGTCCGTCAAGTCTGCGCCAACGCGGTACTGCGCATCAGCCAGAGCGCGTGCTACCGGACTTCTTCATCGGCGCGTACGAGGACGCGTTAAGGATAGCGCAGAGGGAGCTCAGGATAGCGTGCATTGTGCTTGTTAGCGCCGAGCATGACGACGATGGGCCGTTTAAGCGCGAGGTCCTGTCTGATCCGGCGTTTGTGGGGATGTTGGAGAGGGAAAATATTCTGGTATGGGGTGGGGATGTCAGAGGGAGAGAGGCCTGGTCTGGTACGTGTATCTCCACGTCCTAATGATTGTCTATATGTACTGACAATTACATGTAGCTGCGCAGAAGCTAGGCGCCACAACTTACCCATTCGTCGCTTTCGCCGCCTTGCAACCTCCACGCGGCCTCAACACCTCCAGCACGAGCCCGCTAATGACCGTCCTCTCTCGGCACCAAGGCCGTGCATCAACAACCTCCGCTCTTTTGCGGGACCATCTCACAACCTCACTCCTCCCCCGTGTCAATCCCTTCCTTGCCCGCCAACGCGCACAAGCAGCCGAACGCGAGCTCGCGCGGAGATTACGCGCGGAGCAGGACGCGGCATTTGAGGCGAGTGCTGCGAGGGACAGGCAAAGAGCTGAAGAGCGCGAGATGGTTGAGAGGGAGAAGCAGAGGAAGGAGCGGGAGGAGGAGGAAAGGAGAGAGCAAGAGGAGATCGCTGCTGCTAAGGCGGATAGTGCGCGCGAGGCGTGGCGCCGCGATGCGAGGGCGGCGTTTTTGCCGCCTACGGGTGGCTCACCGGCCCCTGGGAGTGTACGCGTTGGTATACGGCTCCCCAATGGTTCGCGCAACACGGTTGCGTTGGCACGCGATGCGAGCGTGCTCAGCTTGTTCGCTGCTGTCGATGCTGCTTTGCATCCTGTCGACGGCACCTCGTCGAGCTCTGGTACAGATGCTGAAACACCAGATGCGCTAATGCACGAACATGCACTCGGACCGGACGAGTGGTGGGGCTTCAAAATCTTCAACAGCTACCCTCGCCGCGCGGTGGAGTACGACTCGACGAGGAGTGTACAGGATGCTGGTGTGGAGGGCAGTGTCAGTGTTGAGCTTGTAAGCCTTGAACGGGTTGGTTCTGCTCGATCAGCCACGAGTGGGGATGGAGATGAGGATGGGTATGATACTGAGGATGAGTAATAGACATGATCCTTTTTGATAATATGTATGTGTATATATCTGGCAGTTGCACAATTGTAGGATCCCATATTGCTGTCCTGTACACTGACATTGGGGAAGATGACTGTGTAGTGACCCATTGTGACTGAAAGAGTGTGGCACCCATCCGGTATGCATGGAGGTAGGGACAACAGGGTGCACTAGTGGAGGGGTGTTACAATCCAACCCCTTCTCCCAGTTTCCGATTATTTCTTTTCTTTATCTTTTCTTTTACTTTACACACTTCAATCACATGACTTGGCAATATCCGAAGTTTTCCCGTGCCTCCTTAGTATTCTAGTACAGCCCCTCCGGGGCACTACTAGGGCTCTCTTGTGTGGAGGCCAGTTCTTTCGAGGTGTTAGAAGGAGTTGTTTTTAGGGGGAGATTGTAATGTTTTGCTTCACCACAACACACCCGGTGAATCAAACCTCGCCCCTTTGATCCAGGAAGCTGTTACGGACACCCAATTATCCATTATCTTTTCCCTTTTCTTTTTCTTTTCCTGGACTCTCAAGTGACTCAGCAACTCCCATGACTCACGAACGACTCATCCGGTTTCCACCGTTTGTTTACATCTGTTTACCTTGCCTTACCTATATAAGACTGCGCCCCCACTTGTAACTTACCTTGAACCTCGATCTAGTCTATACATCAGCTACCTAGCTACTTATCTTGGTTAACTCACTTGCCCTTGTCTTCATTAGTAAGTGGTCACCTAGCCGTTGCTGACATTAGATCGAGGTTCTCAACTTGCTCTCACACTCGTCACCGCTGTTACCACCTTCATCACTGCTATTGCCAGCCTCGTCATCGTGCCTCGCCTCGCTTCATCCGCTACCCTACTAAACTTGGTAGTCCCTTATTCGATCCCAGGGATTGCTGTAAGGACTTGGGTCTATCACCGCCTTTGCAGTCTTTGCCACTCGCATCACGCTCAGCTTGAGCACACTGTCGTTCTCACCAACTACATTGACTGTAGTTCAGAAAGGCTCTTAGTGGAATACAGCTGGCTTACCAGCCTAGAAGTCATCTATCATGAGGACCGCTTAGACATCCTTCACTACACGTTCAAGCCCACCTTCGAACACCTACACTTCGCTCATGATGGATCCATACCGGCCGTTATCTAGAACCCATTGCAGTTACCGGTTGTTATCAGCTTGCATCACTTACCATCACCACTACCCTCGCCTCTCCGTACACCAAGGGTCATCACCTTCAACTTTGAACCCGCCACTTCACCCACACTCTCATCCCTACCACCTGAGGACATCACACCCGCTACGCATCCCAAATATTTCCCGCCCAAATTCTAAGGGCCAGTTTGGTAACAAAGTTCGGGGCCGAACTCCGGCGAACTACACAATTCAGTTGCCATACATGGAAGGTGACTTAGTAATGTCATAGAAAACATGAGTCTCGCAGAATTCGCTGTTCGGATTGTTCTCGAGGTTGCGTGCAATTCCAGTAGTTTCTTTCTGACGTCAGAGCTAGTAGCCTGCCAGTGCTGCGCATACTGTGCCCTCCCGCATAAAGCACAAGCAGACCGATATGACGGCTAATATGAAACAACCCGCTCTCGTGCACATCACACTTCTCAACTGCGTTGGCATTCAGTATGCCTCGTGGCGGTCCTGGCAAGACGCAAGCTACTTCTTTTTGCAAGAATAAGGAGTCGGATGCCATTTTGCTTTCACGACTCGAGCAGGACATTCTGAATGGGCAGAATGGTGATAATAACTTTCAGCCCATTGTCTTCACTGATGCTGCTCGTGATCTCAAGGATGCTGGCTTTGCAAGCGTGACTGCGGCTCAATGCAAGACATGGTGGAGCCGGGTAAGTTGACTCTTGGCTATACAATGGTCTGACAGTCTACTGATCATTGTTTAGTTCAAGGACTATTGCATAGTGAAGTTCCTGCATGAACTATCGGGCTTGGTTGGAATGACATGAAGAAGGTAGTTCAGGCACCCGAGGAAGTATGGAAGGCCCTTCTGTATAATAAGGTATCTACTATATCTACTGCATCAATACCACAACATCCTCTGATGCACTTGATAGTTTGGCAATCAGAAGAAGAAGTACAAGGACTACAGCAAATGGTGCCATACAGCTTTTCCCGAGTACGAACGAATCGCCGAAATTACTGGTGTCAATGACACAACCGGCGAGTTTGCCTCCGCGTCCGAGCTAGATAACGAGGGTGGGTCCAATGAGGATTTGGATAATGGCAAGGGTGATGTAGAGATGGCAGGCACATCGCCTGAAGCCAACCTTGTCTTGGACAGTGATGTTGATGAGTTGGACGACAATGATGCTCTAGTTGGGTTGGGCTCTTCTCAGGTACGATAATCTCTACTACTCTGTGGACACCACTGACTTTACAAGCAGGACACCAATACTATGAGTGCCTTGCAACTCGACAACATTTCCCCGCTAGCACTACTCCCACCCTTGCTCCCACTGGTGCTGGCACACCTATGACCACTCGCCCTGCTCCGAAGCAGAAGGGCAAATCTTCCACTCAGAAAGTGCGAGCTACTACGCCTCCAGGCACGCCTCCATGCGGGTCGAAACGCCAGTCCTCCGCACAATCACTCCGAGGTGACATTCATGCGCTGACAAATGTCACCACCAAATGGATCAACTCTCTTGCACCGCCAGATACGCCCACCAAGACCAACCCACCACCGCACACTTCTACAATATCCCCGCACTCGCTTTGCTACCAGAAAGTGGACACACTCGGTCTTTCCCCTCTTGCACAGGCTTGTGCTCGCCGGGTTTTCCGTAACCCCGATGCAGTGCACAAGTTTCTCAGCTTTGGAGAGTCGGAGGTGGTGGAACGTGCACACGTGTTCTAGTTGAATGACGAGATGGACGCATATGATCGTCAGTATAATACCTATTGGTTGGCTCTCGAATAGTTTGTAGCAACTCCATTCTCTACTAGAACCTCATTAGAATACAATTTGCTGTTCATTATAGTTTACACAGGAACTGAGAATAGCTTCAAACCCGTGGGAATTTGCTTGTCTTCGCACATCAAGGTGTCGTTGTCATTTCCAAACCATGTAAGCAGCGACAAGCTCTGATTGCCCGGTTCGAGCCCATTTTTTCAGGGCTTGTTTCAAATCAATGAGCAAAGGATATGCTGAGACAGATGACAAACAGTAAAATATATACAACAATAAAGTAGTATACAGGCAAAGATATCCTATACACCTGCCGATGCACAGCGGCATGCAAGCTCCTTCTGGTACTGCTGATACATGGCTGTTGCTATCTCATTGTGACGAGCAGAGGCACATTCGTCCTCTAAGTCCGCAATGTGTACCTCCGGTGCAGGGCTCTCATCTCCATGTGGCTCGGGCACATGAGCGAACTTGTTCTTCAATGTGAAGCGGAGATCCTCAGTGTGACACTCGGGATCGTGAATGCGGAAGAAATTGTGGAGGAGCGGCAGAGCCATGGGAATACGGCACTGAATCTCGATGGGGTAATCACAGGCTTTGGTGGCCATCTTGAATTCTCGCTTGAGAACACTGAAGAGCCGCTCGATAATGTTGCGAGCCTGGGCATGCCGCAGGTTGAAGAGCTCCTCCTTGTTTTGCGGCCTATCGGGTATAATCAGAATCAAGTATGTAGATCAATACACAAAAAACATACCGTCTATTCTCGATTTGCCATTCACGAAGATAATAACACACATTTCTGTATGGGACCAGAAGTGTGTCGCAGCTTGCAAAGCCGACATCTACAAGCCAGAACTTTACCTCGGGAAGTCAAAGCCCTTGCCACATGGTGTGCATGTATACAGTGCTGTCTGCAGCACTCCCTTCAAAACTGGATAGAGCGAAGACAAAATACATATCAAAATCACAGACACCGAGGAAATTTTGAGACAGATTCCCTTCACGGTCTCGCCAGCGACCGCGTGTTTATAGCCTATCCCCCATACCTACCTACTATTCTCCATTCTCCATCCCCCATCCCTGGGTGGCAATACATTTATTTATACCAGCCCCCGTCATGTCAGCAACGGCTAGGCGGCCGCTTACTAACGAAGATAAGGGCGAGCGAGGTTAACCAAGATAAGCGACTAGGTAGCCGGTGTATAGACTAGATCAAGGTTAAGAGTAAGTTACAAGCGGGGG